CCCCCCCCCCCCCCCCACACACACACACACAAAAGACATTATCTCAAAAATAAATAGCATATTTTTATCTTAAAAAAATATTATAGCACTGTGATAATGTGACACGTTATGTTATATTGATACTCCGCAAATTTTGATATTATATGTTAGCCTCATGTGTCCTATTTGGGTATCATTTAAGAATGTACCTCTCCCAAAAAAAATTAAAAATGCACCCTTTGAGCACTATGTAGTATTTTTTTATATATAATCCTACCTTTAAAATTTTTTTAACAATAATTTTATTAATTAAAATTCGAATACAAAGTCTCAACAAGGTATATTACATACTTGTGAATTAAATCTAGTGCTCCTACATTTAAATTTCTATTTAGATATTTGTGTCATTAGATTTTTATTCTTCAAATTTTGAAGCAAAAATTAGATAATGGGCATTTCTAATTTTTCTTCCCGTCATCACTAAAACATCACACTCAAGTATTTTTCCTCAACTCTCAATGAAAGCATCAATTAACTTTTAATGCACCGAAATAACGAATCACTCTTCAATAAAATATTTTTCAATATGAATATCATAGAACGTAATTTGATAATGCTAAATACTCTAGAAAACTTATGTCTCATCCCAATATCATGGGAGGTATTTATATACTTGTAAGATTACATTGCTAGTCGCAAGCAAATCTGTTAGATTGCTCAATGGGTAGCCCATTGGACCCGGTCCACTGGAGTCTCACTTGGATATATATCGGGCTGATTACATAACCAATAGTACACTCTGCCTTATTATATTCATCAAGTATAAATCTAGCTTTACTGAATTTATAATGAAAAACATAAAAAATTACAATATCTCACTTATAAGCATTAAAATGTGTAACGATATTATTTTTCCAGCAAGCATTGAAATGTGTATATATGCCCATGGATAGAGAAATAGAAACATGTTTGAGTTCTCAAGGATTAAAAACTTACTCCGATGTTACAATAAAATAATGACGGAATACTCTTGTGAATTAAATGATGTGGCAAATTTATCCGTGGACCTAAGGTTCATGTTCTTTTTTAGACCTTAATACATTTGTATCATTAAAGAAGTGAGTCTTTTACAAAAAAAATGTCTACATGTAAGTTTATGAAAAGTGTGAAAGATTTACATTTTAAATGTGGACTTTGAGACTATGAAAGCACCACTCGTTTAAGTGTGTTTAGTGTAAGAAAATCTCTTATGCTTGAACTATTCTGTTGATTTTCTAACTATAGGCTACTAAATATCCAAAGAGTGAATGCAGAAGTAGATAATAATAATTTTATAAATCAGGACTATTCTGTCAATTTTCTAACTGCGATTATAATCATATTCTCTCACCATCCCTAAACAAGGTTTTTATTTACTATTCACAAGGTCAAATTAACTCTACTTTCTTTATATATTTTCATCAATCATTTGATAAAATAAAATAACGTTGTCAGCACATATTTTGTAGAAATTTTGATGTTATTTTTAAACATGTAATTTTAATTTTATTTCGTTTAATTCTGCACAATAATATTTACTTATATTGATTTGAAAACAACTTTAATTAAATATCATAACCGTAACAAAAACTTTATATTGAGATAGAAAAAAAGATGAATAAATTTTTTTTAAAAGGATCTTTTTTAAAAAGAGAAGTATGATATTCTCTTCCACTCTCTTCTTTTGAAAATAATTTTTGTTGTCATAATATGACAATAACACCTACTGAGTTCTGTCCGGAAAATTGGGAAGTGGGCCGAAGGTACTCTCCTGGGGCCGGAAGTTAGGATGGTAGAAAACATTAATTTTTCAAATGCAACATCACAAGTGTTATTGAATGGGAACAAAAATTATTATCAAAAGAACTTTTTTTCTGAATTGCACATTTGCACGTGGAGTTGTCAATTGTCATGCTGTAATTGACGGTGGGAACAACACCAAAGCTGGTTGTTTATTGCATTAAAAAAATAAACGAGATAAAAAAACTCAGCATGAATCCCTATTTGTTTCAGCTCCTAGATTGCAGCGGCACCTCAACTTAGCGGATCAACCCGAGGTGATAAATTATTCGTACGGAGTAATAATATTTCAATGTTATTGTTATCTGCTCTCTAATTTGTGTTTTTTATCCTTTTTTTTTTGGAAATTTTGAATTTTTTACTCACAGTTCTGAGTTTTGATTTGGATTTCTGCCACATATTGTGAGTCTATTTGTTCATTTTTTTTAAACTTTTGAGCAAGAGTAGAGGCTATGGTTGAGTATTGTATTTGTTCGATGCTAATCTAGATTGTTGGGTAAATTGGGAAGATCTTAGAAAATTCTGAAAATGGAGAAGTGTTGATTTTTTTAAGAATAGTTTTGGAGAGCTTATAGAGTTATGTGGAAGCATGTGGAATCCTCTAGAATGTTCTACATGTGTGTGGAATCTTGTAGAACCTTATGGAAGAGCATGGAAGAAGAATGATGATGTGTGGATGTTCCAGGAAAGTCTCTAGAAAGTGAAGGCTTGTGTGAAGAATTTCTAGAAATCTTGATCTTCATCTTCCTAGGGTGAGAGCGAACCTCTAAATAGAGATTTAAAGAGTAAGTGAGATAGCTAGATAAGTCTTAGCCTCCATGCTGGAAAATAAAATATATTTTTGTGCTTCTTTTATTATTTTTAGTTTCTAAGTGCATAGGTTAACTTTGCAAATCAGGAAAGACGAGTTTTCCCAATAGAACGGACAACTGACAAAACTTATGAAGGATGCTATGCCTAGGAGTAATTATGATTCGTAATTCTATAGTTCCAAATTAATGAGTGTTGACAACTTTGGAAAAAAAATTATTAAAGAAGAAAACCATAAGGTGAAGTTTACTTTACTAAGACCATACGACAATAACATGAAAAACATACCCAGTAAAATCCCACAAGTAAGGTCTGGGAAATGGTGTAAGCAGACCTTACCATACTCGTAAAATTATAGGTGGAGAGGTTTTTTCTAAAAGACCTCACCTCAGTCCTCAAGCACAAAAAGAACAGGAAATACTGGTTTTTATTTTGACCTTACATAGAAGTGATAGAATCTATGAATAATGCTACATCTACTCATCTAGAAGTCATTATTACTCATAGTGAGAAAGGAGTTATGACAACTCATAGATTTTATTGCTCATAATTTATGAGTTATGACAACTTTTGGGAAAAACAGGTTGAAAAAAAATTAGTAAGTTAAAGTTTACTTTTGGAATTTTCCTATACGTCATTACTAAGATCTAAAATTGAATAGGAGTTAGGAAGAATATAAGTAGAGAAAGGGTAAGGAAATCTGTTGAGAAAGTAATCTTTGTGGTACATCTCAACTAAATCTATTTGGGTATCTCTTCGATCTTTTTCTTATATATATGAACCTCTTGGCTCATGATCTTATATATTTACCATATGTCCATTGCCCATTGTGGGTGAAGCTAAAAGAATCAATTTTGACAATATTTCAGCTTCGGATAAATAATGGACTTATTCAAAGTGAAAAAATCAATCTTCTCTTGCTTCTTACTTTCTATGAAGATTTGGGAAGAAAATGCTGCAATGCATCAAAGGTCTAACGGAAACAGCCTCTTATACATTTACCACTCTCTAGGTTTTTGTTGTCATTTTTGTATCTTATATACAGTATTTACCACTGTCTTGATTGTCATGGGGCAGACACCAAACTGCTTTTCAGTTTTCAGTATGAATTTATGACACCAAAAAATTAACACTAGAAATGTTTAAGTACTTGTGCTAAATTAACAGTTTTCTAGTAATATGTGTAGCATGTGTTTAAATAATTCATTGATTATAGTGATTGAGATGCTGTTGCGTGAGCTGAAAAACATGGTGTTCAGATCTCTAAAACAATCTCTTCTGAGAAAAAAGTCTAGGGAACATTGTAATACATATTTTTCTTAATATTCTATGTCTTTGAAACAAATTTACACTTTCCTTTTTGGGATGTCTAAAACAACTTTACACTTCTCCACTTTCTTTTTTAAGAAATAAGAAACGAATATGTGGATATCATTCATTGTTCTCTTTCAAATAAATTTCAACCACACATTTCTCACTTTTTCCCATCTTTTCAACACTTTTCTTAATTTCCATGAAGTCAAACTGTCATATTCTTTCAAAGATGGAGGGAGTATATAAAGTTCCTCTGAAGATCCTTCTAACTAGAGTGAAAACTCAATATTGAGGTTTATTTTATGATTAAAAGATTACAACAATATGTTGGGAAAGAAGGACCATTTGACCTGCTTTTTATGAATTTATGGACCATGAAGTCCAATGGTATAAACTGAAGGCATTGTTTATTTTGGTTGCAACTTGAAAGTTGAAAGATTGGTCTTAGTTGGTAGACATTGATTGAAATTGCAAGATTGATATGATCTTACTCATGGGTTTGAACTCTTGTTGAATATCTCGTGCATGCATTGACCAGTGTTGTTATACCACCAGGACACCAGTAGGCTCAATCTGATCCTTGTCCAAAATGATTACAATACCATATTTCACTGCCTTGACGACCTTCTTCAGCTATGTCCTCTTATTCGCATTTGGCCAATTGCGCGACTTTTTCAGAAAATTCATTGATTGGTATGACTCCAAAAGTCTTCAGGTACCTTTGACTGCATTTGTGTTCATTGTGTTTATGTTTGTTTACATCTACATTCACACATATTTGAGATGATAAAAATGTGTGTACCATTGAAATTTGAAATTTTGATGCTCTTTAGTTGGACATACTGTTCTGCTAGGGATATGCTCCAATTTGCCTAGGACTTGAAGACTTCTACATTCGCCGGTTGTATCTCCGGATACAGGTATTTCTATATGAACTCTATAACTTTATTTTATTTCTATTGAATGTTTGTGATAGAACTCGAGATTGGTGGGAAAATAAATGAAGGATAGTCTTTATTAAATTATGAAATCAGGATCTAACTTCATAAATAATAAAGATGAAGGGAAATCTTTATCAAAATATGAGTAAGAATCTTAAACTCATATAATTAATAAAGCCAAGGAGAGTCTCCAATGTTAAAATACTGTGTAATCTTCCATCCTCATTACACATGACTAGATGTCTATTTATACAAAGAGACTCTAACTTCTACTAGTAATAACTTACTAATAACCACCCACTAACAAAGTGGGAATAACGTGCCCTAAACCTCCCACTAACTATGTGGGAATGACTGACCCCTAACTTCCCACTAAATGAAATTAAATAGTTATTAAATGATAAATATGAAAAATAAAAAGACTCAACAAATAATATAATAGTGTTAATTACTTAAATATAATATGACTTAACCAACCAGCCTGGAACCTATCAGTTTGACTTCATTGGACAACATTAGTGGAAGCAAAAGCTTTTGTATTTGATTTTCATCATTGAATTCTTGAAGCTTGCCAATATGGTGGTTCATTAATGTATTTCGTCGACTTTTATAGGATTGTTTTGGGCGGCCAATTTCAAGCCCCCCCGATGCATGGTTTGATGTGGTGGAGCGCTTTTCCAATGATAATAACAAAACTCTAAAGTGAGTGCTGATTGTATTTTTTAGTTAAAATTGTCTTATTAATTTCCCCATTGTTTGAATCAAAATCAAGATTGTCCAATCGCCTCCCGAGGTAACAGTTTCTGCTCGACTTCTTAAATCATGAAGGGAATGAAGCACTATGTTCTACAAAAGCATATTGACAAATACTGTGTGATTTGTTAGTCATTTTAGAGTGTTTTTAAAATGATTTTTAACCTATGCAGGCGTACCTCAAAAAAGATGAGATGTATTAACTTGGGATCATATAACTATCTTGGCTTTGCTGCATCTGATGAATATTGCACGCCAAGGGTGATTGAGTCCTTGCAAAGGTTTTCCCCAAGCACTTGTAGTACTCGGGTTGAAGGAGGTAGGCTTGGCGTATTGCGGAATTATTGTCACTTACTCCGTATTTTTCTACACTAAGCTATAATAGAGATAGATGGATCACTTTGAAATGTTTTTATTAACGGAGTAATTTAAGTTATCAGGCACCTTGTCGATACACACCGAATTGGAGGATTGTGTTGCTAAATTTGTTGGAAAACCAGATGCTATAGTTTTTGGCATGGGCTACGTGACAAATTCAGCAATTCTTCCTGTCTTGGTTGGAAAGGTATCTCACCAGTTGCTAATGTGAATATGTTTTTCCTTTCATTCACATTGTTTCTATCCGCATTTAGCTTGTGATCATTTTCAGGGCGGCTTGATTATCAGCGATTCTCTCAACCACAACTCTATTGTTAATGGTGCGCGAGGCTCTGGAGCTTGTATTCGTGTTTTCCAACATAATAGTACGTTTGTGAATGATTCTTTTTGGCTTCAAAAGAAATTCCCCTCTTTTTTCCGTCCGTATATGATACTTATACTTCACCGTGTTCAGCACCTTCCCATTTGGAGAGTGTTTTGAGAGAACAAATTTCCGAAGGGCAACCCAGAACGCATAGGCCGTGGAAGAAGATCATGGTTATAGTGGAGGGCATATACAGCATGGAGGGGGAACTATGCAAGCTTGCTGAGATTGTTGCGGTATGCAAGAAATACAAGGTACGGAGCTTGTATTTGATTATATTGGCATGGTTGCCATCACTAAAATGACGACTTGAACTACTTCCGTTGACTGTAATACGCTTACTTATTTTGTGATGGTACAGGCATATGTTTATTTGGATGAAGCTCATAGCATTGGTGCAATTGGCAAAACTGGAAGGGGTGTTTGTGAGCTCTTAGGAGTTGACACAGCAGATGTGGACATCATGATGGGAACTTTCACAAAATCATTTGGATCTTGTGGTGGTTATATTGCGGGATCCAAGGTTTCTCTTTTGCAATAAATAATACATCTCACCTTTCAATAAGCTGTTTTTAGTCATCAGAGCGTCTGCCATAAAAAAGTACAAGAATGCACATTCGCAAACGCTGGATACATCCGGATGCATTATATATGCACTTCATTAAGTCATGTGTCACTTTATTAAGTTTATTTACAACTATGCTTTTCTTTAATAGTCTTTCTTTGGGGGTTTCCTTTTTTGTACTCCGTACTTTTTTATTTTGAACTCTTTTTTACATTGTACACAAAAACTTCAGGAACTGATACAGTATCTGAAGCACACATGCCCTGCTCATCTGTATGCAACATCTATATCGCCCCCTGCTGCCCAACAAATCATTTCAGCCATAAAAGTAATCCTTGGGGAGGATGGCACTAGTAGAGGTTTGACACTTTCTTCCATGAGTAATTTGCTCTTGGGATATTGCCAAGACAAGGACTGACAAGTTCATCATTTCAATAGAATGGAATCATAATTGGTTTTTCTGTTCAAAAATATGAGTCATTTAATCATAAAAGAGTATAATTCTTTATTTAGGATTAAAATCAGTCCTATTTTTTATAATTAAAAAAACATTGATGGTTCCATTCTTGGATATGAAACCCTTTGTTTCGTTCTTAAGGGTGCAGCATTACTTGAACTATTTTATCATCAGTGCTTGCTTTGTATATTTGCCTTTTTTTGCCTCTTATACTTGACACAACATCTTGACCTTAGGGGCTCAAAAACTAGCCCGCATACGTGAGAACAGCAACTTTTTCCGGTCTGAACTGCAGAAAATGGGATTCGAGGTCCTAGGCGATAATGATTCCCCTGTGATGCCCATAATGCTCTACAATCCAGCAAAAATACCTGCATTTTCCCGGGAATGTCTCAAACAGAATGTAAGTTTTCACTTATCCTATTTTGATATGCAGCTGAGATTTTTCTTCAGCGAAAAACACACAAGATGTTGAGCTCATGTGTTTCTTTTACGCAATAGCACAGAGCGAAGCATTACCTTCTCAAAAAAAACACACTTCCCTCTAAAAACAAAAATGGTTGTGCATCGCTTAAGTAGCAAAAGCTCCTGCTGTTAACAACTTTAATGTTGCCTTTAACTATTACAAACCGCTAAGCTTTGATGCAAATTGTAGGTGGCTGTGGTTACAGTTGCTTTTCCAGCAACCCCTCTACTCTTGGCAAGAGCACGTATTTGCATTTCTGCTGCTCATACAAGGGAAGATCTTCTCAAGGCATTGGAGGTTACATCTTTTGTTCCCTTCTAGAATCTATTTCACGTTTGGCTTCTTGAATGTACTTCTATCCCAAGTATTTGAATTTTGTAAGAATTTAATCTTAAATTGCTCTTCCCCTGCCCAAGCATTGAGAGTTCGGCAGAAATGGTTGCCAAATTACTTTTAAAAAAATAAAGTTGAGAGAAACGGGCACTCATATATTTCCTTAATGAAGGAGATGTGATGACCCTGAGGTAGAACCGTAGAAGTAATAGTCTGAGAGAGAGAGAGAGATGTATGAATAACGAAATGCACTTTGTTCATAACTAATTAAGTGTTCTTTTGCCCTCTCACATTCATTTCACTTTTGTTTTTTAATGACCAGAGATCGATAGGGGTATGTTTGACAGTTTACGACAAATTTAATTATCATCTAAAATCACTTTTTTTCCTTAAATTTAATTTTTTCTCGTTTTTGCAGGTTATCGGTAGAGTTGGTGATATGGTGGGTATTAAATACTTCCCTGCTGCTGATCCAAACAAGCAACCCACCATAGAAAACCGAGTGAAGTTGGAATAATCATGTTCAATTTCCTTCCTTTAAACCATATATCCGGATGCAGAGAATTGTCTCTCTACTCCTTAGCGTCGAGGTAATATCTTTGCGTGCAGGCTGCTCTCTCAGACCCTACTCCTAAGTGTCGGGCTTGTTTGGTTGTTCGCTAATATTTGGGTGCTGAAAATATTTTTTTTTAAAAAAAAATGAGTCCTTATGTGTTGAGTTCAAATGCTTGCTTTATGGTGTACATAGCATAATTTGAGGAATGTATGTTTGTGCACTCCTATTTAAAAATATTCTCTACATTCTAGTATTTTTTACCATTTTCTTGGCCTATTTCATTGTTTGTGTCCCCTTTCTTTTTTAGTATGACTGAAGTGTACAATTACCCATTTTACCCATTTTTACTGGATTGGGAGCTGCAGTCTAAAAGCTGCTTCCCCACACCAATGCTTCACTTCTGTAACTGTTCCCATATATCATGAAAAACGCGGTCTCGTTGCTATGTGGGCGTATTAATGACGTAAATGATGTGTCATTTTTAATCAAAATATTGGTAGACCAATTTAAGTTGTATACGGAGTATATGCTTTAGATACGGATTGAAGTGACACTATTATTTTAAAAAAAACTAAAATAAGATTAAAATATGGTGAAAGTACCAAACTATGAGTTCCGTATCTTTTATCTCCAAAATAGGAACTACAATACCAATAATTTGAATATTTAATGCTAAAAACATTATGAAATGGTAATATACAGTGCCACAATGTCACTGTGAAAACTTTTATTTGGGAAATAAAAATATTGAACTCTTATTCTAGGAAAGATTTATGTTTTACTCACATTTGAGTAATTTTTTTAGTTTTGTTTAGGAAATACTGTATATACGGAGTAATATATAGGAAATAATAACTACGAAAAGTTTCCTTCTATACTTATATTACCTTATATACCTTTTTTTTATTTTACAAATCATCATCTTTCCTTCTAAGCTTATTGAGAATCTCTTTGCATATCTTTCTTCTTTCTTCTATAGCGTAGATCATAAATTATACGGAGTATTACTTAGAACTTTTGTTTATGGTAAATGACTAATTATGATATGAAATAAAAGTATTTTCATATGATTTGATTATTTTTAAATGATTGAATATTTAAAATATATGTTTTATTATTTTAATCAAAATAACTTTGTAATGTAACTTACCATTTTTCGCAAGTTGTAACTTAGCTTTACTCAATATATACTTATATTGTGTTATAGTTCACTACATATATGCATAAAAATAAGAAAAATTAAATGAGAGAAGACTTACTTCCTACGTTTTTCATTTATGTTAAAATCGTTCATAGAAGTTTCATAGAATGATATTCTAATAGACGATAAGATTTATTTTGAAAAAAAAATAAGGTGCTGGATGACCGGTCACCCCCCGAGTTTGGTGCTGGTTACTTCCTGTAAACTTTGAGGAATGAAATTTCGGGCTACATACAATTTGATCGATCTCACTTTTTGGGTTACGACCAAGAGGTCACAGTCGGACAGATTTGCCACCCCCAAACCCTAGTATCTAGGACAGGGGCGGATCTACCCTTTGGAATATGGGGCAGCTGCCTCCAATCAATTTTTTTTAATATATGTATATTTTTAAATTTTATATATAACTGCCCCCAATAAAAAATTAAATTTGCCCCCAGTCCATTATTTAGCCTAAACAAATTAATTACCTAAAGTCTAAAACCCAATTTCAAAAGTGGCCCAATTGTCCAAACTCCAAAAAATTTACCTGAAGTCTAAAACCCAATTATTTCCAAATTTACCTGAAGTCTAAAACCCAATTATTTTGGTCTTTTTCCATTCCATATAGTTGACGCCATCATCTGTCGTGTAGGATCTACAATAAATGCCAACCACTCGCCCCTCCATGTTAAAGAGGGGGCCCCCCTTGAGTAAAGATCCCAACCATTTCTAGAAAACAAAATCCCTAGACCTCCCATATATATGTCCTCTGAGTTTACCTTATAAGATGTTACAGACGGATGGTTTACAAATCCACTCGCGGTGGCAAACACCAAGGGTGCTCCATCGAATTTGTAATGCTATAAACATCCCCACCAAAGCCACCGGTTTTGTGTGCAACTTAGCTACCACAACTTTAATACCCAAATTATCTCCCACTTTCAATATACTGAGATCCAAATCTGAATTACTATAAACTACATGGGCTGAAAATGTCTCAAATGTTGAACTCTTTACTTCAACAATGAAAGATGGTACGGGTACTGAGTTAAAGATTTTGTGACCTGTCAAAAGTAGTGAATATTCATCACTTTTAAAGATAACAACAGCTTTGCACTCTATCACGACATCACTATTGCCACTGAAGATTTTAATTCCTGTGACAAGAGCAACACTCTTAGAAAATAACTCTCTAAATATCCCTGTTGAGCTCTCTCCCAAAATTTTATCAAATAATTTGCAATCACTATCATGTTTCTTTGAGAGGTAGTGAGATATACCAATTTCTTTGAGACATGTCTGCAAAAAGGAATATAACTTATACTTAAAACATTATATATATCCGGGCAATCACTCATGAACCCTCACCTCGGTGGAGGGAATTAATTTCACACGTCTGCGCGAACCAATATGTGGTTCGCCAGCTCATTTAAATCAAAGTCATTTGGCGCTGTTACTCTGAAGGTGTATTTGTTGAAGGATAGTATTTCCCTTAAACCTGGAGAGGAAAAAATAACAAAAATCATATTCTTATTCTTATACTAAGAAAATTGATAGGGGTTCACGATTTTCATCGCTAGTTTTAGGGTTTCAGGCTTTCAGGTCCCTACCTCCTCCTCCACCATGGTTAGAGATCGGCTCAGTTTTATTGCTTTTGTGATTGTTGTTATTATTATCATTAACGTAAACGATTTCGTAAGTATATTCTTAATTTGAATAATCACAGGGAAATTTGCTTCTGGAGAGATATCTAAACGGGCGCTCTGGAATCCATCGCGTGAATAGATCTGTCAATGCAGTTGTTGGGAAGAGAAAGTAATAAATCTCTTTTTTTTTCTTGCTTTAGTTAATTTGTATAGAAATTAGTGGTTGTTTGTAGACAATCCCATGGTATAAAGCACTCTGTAGCATTTTCCTATTTTGTGTGCTCTTGTCCCAAGAAACTTTAACCGCGAATTGGGGAAAGAATTGTTTTGGTATACCATCAATCTTTATGTAGCATTTGTTTGAAGGGTGTTGCTATATTCACCCCAATTATGGCCAAAATCCACTCCATTTGTGTTAAATAGACAAATTTACCCTTAAAAATTCCCAAACATCTATCATCCCTTTCATGTGTTTGCAGGACAAAATTGCCCATTTAACCATAATTGGGGTGGATTTAGCCATGAATGGAGTGTTAGTTGAAATTGGTGGTCTTGGGTGTACTATACTCTAGTAGCAGTAGAGTTTGATATAGGATTTCTTTGGATCATTTTTACTGGATTGGGAGCTGCAGTCTAAAAGCTGCTTCCTCACACCAATGCTTCACTTCTGTAACTGTTCCCATATATCATGAAAAATGCGGTCTCGTTGCTATGTGGGCCGTATTCGGAGAGTGAGATGGCATTGGGTGTGGGTTCTCAATAGATAGGTTGTGCCTTATGTCCCTGCCTGCCTAATTTGCTTTCCAAACTTGTAATCTTATACAGTGCTAACTTTATATATATTGAACTGGGTAAGTGACCAGATTGAAATTGCGTCGCAAGTCTGCTAGTAGGCAAGTGGATGCTGAGGGTCATGATGGTGGTGCAGCCCCGGAAGAAACAACAATGGAAAAGGTCAGTTTGCGGAGGCTGCATGCCCGGCTACTTCACAATCTGTTGTTTCTTTGCCAATTTTAATTGTTTGGTGGGTCGATGGAAGAGTTTGATTCTCTATGCAAGCATTTTGAGTTCTCTGCAGATGCAAGAAAATCATGCACGGAATGAGATTGGCAATGGCATGCACTTAGACAACGGGGAAAAGAGCTTTGAAGGTAATTGCGAAGAGAGCCTCCTTGAAGATGTAATTTTTTTTTTGTTGTTGAAATATTTCCTCCTCGCTTATCGCCATCATCTTCATTATTAAAGAAAACAATTTATCAAGTCTAACTTTTACATTTTTTTAAATTATAATATAACGGAGTAGTTGCATAGAGTATGCATACCGCTTGAACGACCTAGTTGATCATCAGGTTCTATCTATCATTATGCATGCACATCTGCAGTGCGGAGTTTCTACATATCTATCTATCTATTTTGGCTCTACAGACATGGATTTTGTTGTGATCACTCTGTAATGATTTTGTTATATGGACCATGTAATTGTTGCATGCTTCAGGACGGAGGCAGTTTTAATTGTTGCATGATTGTTTGAATATGCTTTTTTTTCCAACAATAAAAACAACTTTGATTGCTTTTATTCTCTTTTTTTTACTATTCCATCCTTTCTAAAGCGGTCTTCCCAGTTATTTCACACTTTGTAAAAAAAAAGAAATCGGAAGAATGTTTTCACACAAAAGGAGTACTTTCTTAACAAGAGGGAGGTCAGAATTCAAGGTCAAACATTAATATTTTTTATATCATTTTTAATCAAGTTAGTGTTCACTCATGGTCAGTTTTATGTTACTGTTTAGTGTGTGAAAAAACAAAAACGCAATACAAATATTTGTTCTAGATGTCAATGATATCTTTTCAACTATATCAAAAATATTGTATAACCTAAATTCTTTCAAAAAAAATTGATATTAAAACAAACTTTGTTGAGTACACATTCAATTCTTCAAATATTGTTCATTGTACTTAGGAATTTTTGTCTATAGTATTAAAAATCATAGAAAAATATATTTTCTTTATTCCTTAAAGAATATTACATTGAAAAAGTTTCAGAATCAACAAAAATTTCGTTTAATCCCGTGCATTGCACAGATAAAAATACTAGTATAATTAATGCTCCATTAAGAAAACGTGGGAATAAGGCTTTAATATTACTTCTTTTTATATATTTGTTTCTATTTTTGCATGATTATATTATAAACTAATGATTTAAATATTGGTTTATATTATTATTATTATTATTATTATTATTAAGATTATATATATATATATATATATATATATATATATATATATATATATATATATATATATATATATATCTATATATATATATATATATATAGGCCACAAAAATAGGGACTCCCTCCATTGAAGAAAACGGTTTTCATTTTGATTAATGAGAGAAATAAGAATCATATATTCTTTGTTGACTTTCTAATTTTATCTATGATGTGCAGGATAAAAGTAAGATAAATGAATAAATTATTAGTGAAAAATTATGATGTGATGTGTAAAGTGAAAAAATACTTGAGGTAAAATTAAAAGTAATTTTTTAATTGAAAGTGAAAGTATTTTGGTACAAGAGATAAAAAAAAGAATAAGTGTTTTGGTGAACGGAACAAAAACTAAATTATTTTCAAAGAATTATGTACAATCTCCCCTTAAGAGCTGACGATTAACATAAACATTACTAGGCAGCAAGGCGAAGGGGGGATTTTTTATAAACAATGGTCAAACACTTTTAATTTATATTTTATTTAGTTATATATCAAACTTTGAAAATGTAGTTCCTAAAATTTTTGTCTAGTTTTAATTTTTTTTATATTGTAATAAATTTTAACTTTTGATATATAACTAAATAAAATATAAATTGAATTTTAGTTAGATCAAATAATATTTTAGAAATATTTTATTAAAAAATTTAATTAAATTATTTTCCTTTTAAAAATCTATTTACTTTTATTTAAAATCGATGTAAAATATCAAGTTTTTTTATTTCATTTTATTTAAAAATTAATATAGAAATAAAATATAAATTTACTTATTTAAGAAATAGATGAGTAGTTATTCAAAATAAGATATGTTTAAAATATTTTATTTCATCGAATAACTAATGAAAATGTATAATTAAATAAAAGTCCATGTCCAAAGTTTGATGGATTCTAAAGACCCGGGAATCTATCACAACGAACCCTAGCGAAAATTGTTTCCTCTTCTTATAAAGAAGCCGAAAACCTCCCCAGCCATTGCAAGTTTGCAACACCATATCCTCTTTTCATCGGTTTTTTGCAGGCTTCAGCTTCCCACATCCACCACGGTTAGTTGTTCCTAATGTTATTATTATTATTTTGGATTTGTTGTTTTTATTGTGATAATTCTAAAACAAAAACCTGTTTTGATCTGTTGTTTTTCTGAAATCTATTCTTATTGCTAGCAATCTTATAAAGTATATTTCTTTTTTTTAATTGTATATTACCGAGTAGTGGCATAGAAATTTGCGTCTGGAGAGATTTCAAAACTGTGGCTCTGGAACCAAACGCATGGAGACAAAGTAATCTCTGTTTATTGCTCTCTTCTTTCTGAATGTATTTGAGATTTTCTTTATGATGTGTTTGGGAACTTGAATTTGGATTTCAAATCTAGATTAAATCCAAATTACTTGTTTGGGAACTCAAAGATTTTGGATTTCTCTCCTCATATAATAAACCGTCTTTGCCGACTTCAATATTCAGATTCTAGAATTGTAATTCTATGACTTTCCAAACAACATTTGGAATATGAAATCATGGAATTTCAAATGTAGGGATTGAAATCTAAGATTTCATATGAATTCTAGTTCCTAAACACTACTTTGGTAAATTTGTTTAGAATTAGTTGTTGTCTGTCACAGTCACACACCATAGACATTGCCTGTGTCTCAAGGATTGTCCTACAAACATTGACCGTGGGTCTCTAGTGGTGCAATCCTTGGGTTTTAAGCTGCATTTTCCTATTTTATCTCTAGTCATTGATAAATTGGTTGGCTATTGCAGTTTCAAACTTTATCAGTCGCTGTGGGTTTTGTTAAAATGGGGCTTGGAAATTCAAACTCTCTTAGGATTATCTTTATGGGGTCGGGAACTCGTGTTTAAACTATGTTTCACTTCTTCAAATGTTGCCACATAATATAAGATTGTGGCTTCATTGCTATGTGGACATTTGGAGGGTGAGATAACATTTTTGGGATGGAGCAGAGGGTTTGCTTTCATAGGGTCTGGCTAATTTGCTTTCCAACCTTGTAATGTCATACAGTGTTAACTGTGTATTTTGAACTGGATGATCGGATTGAAATTGGACGGGAACTCTTCAAGTAGACAAGTTGATGCTGAAGTTCATGATGATGATGGTGCAGCCCCTGAACAAACAACATTGGAAAAAGTCAGTTTCCCAGTAGAAAACTGTGCTCGTTGCTACTTCAAAATTTTGTCTCTTTGCCAATTCTAGTGGGATTACATTATCAAATATTTTTGTTCTGAATTTTAGTTTACTATCAATCCTTTAAAAAATTAAAATTTTGTTGGTTGTATCATTCGATGGAAGAATTTAATTCCTTATGGGAGCATTTTTTACCTCTGCAGCTGCAAGAGAATGATGGCAATGGCATGCAGGGAGACACCAAAGAACAAAGCATCTTGGCACCTAATTGGAAAAGGGAATTCCACGACGATGTAATGCTTTCGTACATCTTTGAAATATTTCCCCACTCATCATCATCTTTATTATTGTTAACAAAAGTAATTTTCTCAAGTTTATGTGTGTATACATGCACACACGCACACACACACTAATATACATATTAATGAGCAGTGGCATAGAAATGCGGTTCTGAAGAGATTACGTATGAGAGGCTCTCTGCCGAAGCGCAGAAGGTTTCGCCATGCAGTTGGCGTGAGAATAAGGTAAATCTCTCTTTCTTGCTTTCTTAATTTACTAATGTATTCGGGATTTTCTTTAGCCAAGTTCGCGTAGATTTAGTTGTGTAAAATCACACGACGATAGAAGATAAAGATTGACATTGGATTTTGTCTAATAGACTAGTCTAGCCGTGTCTCATAGCCAAAATGCATGTGAAATGGAACTTGTTTTGGATTTAAAAAAACTAGTTTTTTCTTTCTTGCTAACAGTCTGATATTATTGCATGAAAATATGCTCAAGGGATTTATTTCTGATATCATTGCAGGAAGTTATGCTCAAAGTGATGAATGACCACCCTGAGAAGGATGATTGTATTTATACTCCGTATCTATCTATTTTCGCCTTTAACAAATGAATGTCAAGGACATGTATTGATGCAATGACCTCCCCTTTTTAAAAGTGTTTTGAAATACTTCGTTTAATGATGTAAATTATGTGGTGAAATGCTTCGTTTACCAATTTGAGATGTATTTGTTGAAACCTATGGAGGGGAATCTAATTTAACAAGAAAAAATGGAACTCCCCTCAAATGTTATAACATTAACAAGTCTTTCTTCATTGACCCTAAACATGTATAAATAGAATCCTAGTGTCCCCAGTGTTTGATCCTTTACCTCTTGGCGTATCATCGTGTTGTGCTGGATTGGTTTTATCCTAGACGTCTGAGTTTGAACACGATGGCCGTACATTGAGTTGGATATAGTTGTTTGCAATTGAGAGATTGTTTTGCCCAATTGTTAACTATCTGGCATGGCAAGAGAAAACATTCCTAATGTGAAGTGTAGGTGTACTAGGTGACCTGACCATAATCTTGAAGTGGTAGGATGACCAAATTTATGGGATTTTTCTGTGTTGCTGCTTATTTGTTTATTGTATTTAAATCATTTTTGACTTATAAGTTTATTAAAGTATTTTGTTGTAACATATTTAAAATGACAGATTTGTCATTTGGGGGGATTCATTAAAGGCTAAGGTTGCTTTTTCAAATGATTGGTCAAAATGCAGAAAGAAAAAATGGTTAAGTTAAAAGTTAGTCTATAAACTTAGAAAACTATATCTGCAACTGACTCATAAAGAATGGTATGTAAGTGGGTTTTAACTAGTTCATAAATACAAAGAAACACCTCTAATATGGGGAATGCTTAGTCACATAAAAAATATATATCAATGCATGATTAAGGCTTTGTTTGGTAACAACTTTTTCAATTAGTGTTAGTGTTTTGGATTAAAGTTTAACGGTGTAGATTAATTCTGAAAATGCTAACGTTAAAGGCTACCGTCAAATAGCTTTTTTAAAATGCTAACGCTAATCTGTGTTGTTGATGCCAAAAGGTGCCTAAGCAAATTGCCGAATAGAGTAATGGCATGACCCTTTTCCAAAGTTGGAATTTGCATATTACTTCACGTCCCAAAAAAATATTAAAGAATATAACTTGTATGCAACCAAACTTCCATATAGAATTGATGAACAGTAGCCATCAAGGAAAGAAAACGCAATCTTTACACGTAAGAAAAATCAACCTGTGGAGAGTAGCGTGAGCAAGTATGAGACAAAGGAGATTTTAGTTCAGACATAATCAATATTGAAAAAGGAGTTGCATCGAAGATTCAAGGTGCAATAACGAATAGGACTCAATCAAAAAACAATTTCGTTCATGCCTACCAGTGATTATACTTTTTGGATCTTTTAAAAAAAGAGAAGTGTAACCTTTTTTCTGAGAAGGTCCACATTTCAATGTGGTGTCACTTGGAAAAATGAAATTCAAAGTAGACAAAAGTGCAATATTATACGAAATACATATAAGAAAAAATAAAAAAATATTGCTTATAAAAACCAAACGTCTTGTATAAACAATGGCCAAGCTTGTAATCTAGAATTCAAAGATATGCTACTAATTAATCCTAGCTAGGATAGATTAAACAAGAGATGATTCAGACTCATAACCAAATGGGCATTACACAGTGTACTTAGTCACGATTCAAATGATCCAACAACAATGTCAAGTGGTTTAATTCATAACAACAATTGCCAAAAATGATTTTTTAAAAAATTAAGTTTAAAAATCTTGAACATAATCAACCAATCTAGACTGTTTCCCACAGTAGAAATGAACAAAAACAAAAAGTTAACACCAACTCGCTTGTCTCTTCTCTAACCAATGTATTAGCAAAGAAAACATTAAAAAAAAAACATAATCTGTTCACTGTCTACCACTTCCTCCCCTTGAGCACCTTCATGCCTACAACCTGGAACATAGAAACGACCCAATGTTATAACTCAAGAGGCACTCTTTTTCGCTTTCTTCTTTTTGTGTGTTGGAGTTTTGGCTTTTCCTTTCCCAAATACATATATATAAAGTAGGGTTTATTAGTTGTGGAGTTGCCACGTGTACCCTGACTAGGCTGCTGAGATGGATTAAATTTTGCTCACTCAGCTGCCACGTAACCGGGAGAGTAATAGATCTGTAACTTCCTCGGCCTAAGCTTCTGCTTCTCGCGACTTCATCGCCTTCTTTCATCTTCCAGAACTGCGTTGCACTTCAATTTCATGCGTTTTCGCAGGTGATACGTCAGAGGCGGCGTGCTATGGGCAGTTAATGTTGTTTCTCTGTAACCCTAGGTGCGTTTATTGCCCTTGCTTTATTACAGCGTTTATTACCCCTACTTTATTCCAAATGACTCACCTTCTCTGTGTTTGGATGTGTTTGTGTGTGTTTCCGAATATTTATATATATACGCCTTATTGAACAATTGAAATGGACGTACTGGGCTTTTGTTGTGTTTTACTTAATTTTTTTAAAAATGGTATCTTCACTGCGAAAGATGGTAGAAGAATGCATCCCTATTGATAAATTGACTCTGGAACCAAAGAACTGTGCGATTATACACTACGTATTGATGGTAGAAGAATGCATCCCTATTTTTATAAGTTTATACAATACGTCTTTTCATTGTTTTTTTGATATTCTTATTCACTTTCAAACAACGTTATAAAAACACAGATAAATGCTCCAACAGTGCTGCTGGAGACAACAGATGTTCTCTCTGGTGATGGACCAAGTAAAAGAAGACGTTTAAGGTTTGATCACTTTAAACCATTGACTTTATACATTCAACCATCTTTACACCGGTCTTAGTTATACAATTTAGTTTTCCCCAGTGAGGAGAATGCTTGAGGCCATGAAGAATCACACGAAGAATAAGATACAATACCTCTCATGCAATGATATGCTGCTATATTACATTTCAGTATTTAAAAGTAGAAATAAGGGTAACTAACCCAAAAAGACTTTATAAGCTTAAAGAGTTTGTTTGTTTTAGTCCTCCCCACCCCCTGAACCGCGTCTGTTCTCAGTTTTTGTTGAGCGGTTTGAGAAGTTGATGCTGCCATTCATTAAGACTTATTATAAGCATGTTTTTTATTATATTTTCTGCTTTAATGATCAAAGTGGCTACTGTTTTATTATATATCAGCGACGGTTGGTCGAATGTATAAGTAAATTAAAAATAAACCTTATCAGCAACAGTGGATACATGGAGTATTTAGAAATCAAATTTGTTCTGGGTATACCCAAAAACTTTTCACAAGCAGACTCAAATAGAAAATTTCTTCTGTATCATGAAGTAATTACATTTAACACAATTATGAATCATCGCCTATATCATGTCCTGAGCAAATTGAAAATAACCCACATCCCTTTTTCAAGAACCCTTTATAGGAAGGAGATTAAATTACGACTACTGTACGGACTAATCAACTCTTTTACCCAGGAAGAGGCTCAACTTTCTTCAAAAAAGAATTGTTTTTCTATGGTACATGTTGTATTATATATAATCATAGGTGTTTGTGCAAATTAATCAATCCAAAAGAATTTAACAATATATGTTATACCTAAACACTGATTCCATCATGCTAATAAGACTAAGAGTAAGGCACAAAACCTGTTAAGCACGGATGAATCTGAAGTGTGACTAGGGTGTCGTAATTGGAGTCCCCATCTCCAACAACATATTGTGTATCACCATTGAAGTAAACAACATTTAGCTTAGGATTTTTTAAATCTTCCAGTTACATTTGTGAACTAGAATTGAGGCATTGAACTCCCCTACTGCCACTGTCCTGACCAGTGACGATCTCTGCCAATGTAGCTCCTGGTTAGAATCAAGGAACCATAGAGTAGGATCAACCCCAGTAGGTGGTTCAGTGGAGCGATGAACAAACCGCCAAGGCAGGACAGACGCAGCTCTAACGCAGCTTCTTCTCCTTCAATTCTGAAGTTCAAATTATAATTTAGGGTTCCACTAATAATTAATTTGCTTCGTTTCATTTCTCTTGGGAATTTTGATTAATTCATTCCAGCTGCTTTCTCTTCCCCTGTAGCATATGATTGGTTAATTTCTAGCAATTAATTTTCATTATTTATTTTGGTATTTGTTTCTGTAGGGTGTTATTCTAGGCGTCTCTGCAGAGTTAACCAAAGAAGAAGCTGTCACGATTGGTATCCCTTCTGTGAGCTTCGTTTATATCTATTAAACCCTATTTGTCATATGTTTGGTCTATCTTCTTATTTCTTAAGATTTAAATGATTGATATTTCTTTAACTTATTTATGAAATCCCATTTGTGAAATATCTTCTTTGATTCGTATCTTTATAACTTATTGTGATTGTATTTTATACATAGTTTGTAAGGCGGCAAGGCGAGGCGAGGCGCCAATGCACCTTCATATCGCCTAGGCAATTAGGAGCGCGCCTAGGCGACGACTAGGCAACATACATATCTACATGTATATATATATGTGTGTGTGTGTGTGTGTGTATTTATATATTTATATATTTATATTTATATATTTATATATGTATATATAGGTCTTATACATTTTAAGGAAGCAAGGAAGCTTGACAGAGAAGACCGAGAGAGAGAAGATAAGTTTAAGTCTATTAGGCTACACTAAAAGAAATGGGCTGCACTAAAAAATGGGTTTTTTCAAAATTTTAAAGTGGCCCAAGGCATCAAGGTGAGGTAAGGCGAGGAAAAGCGACGCCTAGGCGAGCGCCTGGTCGCCTTATGGTTTTCTAGGCAAGGCGAGCACACATGGCGTCCCAGTGATAGTGCCTTATCGCCTAGGCGACACCTTACAAACTATGATTTTATATTATTTGAAGATGAGTGTTACCTTAGATCAAGTTTTGAGTGATATTAATATTATTCTCTAAAGGATAGATCCTTGCTCTAACAGTGCAACACTCTTTCCTTTCTTATGTATTTGCTTTAACTTCCAATTTCTTTCCTTTCCTATTAGTGTATTTACTTTAACCCTGATCTTATATCATATATGTGTGTGTGTGTGTGTGTGTGTGTGTGTATGTGTGTGTTTGTGTGTGTGTGTGTGTATAAAGTTGGATGTACAAAGTGCCTTTTGATTTGGGTAGAGTGTACAAAGGTCGGCATATGTTCTCCCCATAAAAAATGGTAACCAGAAGTAGAGCTAAATTCCCGAGGGAAGGGAGATAGAAAACTCCTATTGGGTGGGATCGGGAGGATGACCTAGACTCTGAGCCATCCTTTGCTAAAAAGACGCTTAAGCAAGCATTAGCAGGTGATTGTGAGATAGATGGCATTTATTAGAGAAAGTTTTCTTTCTTTTGTGCTCGCTTGAACGGTTCTAGGGGATGGATTCATACTATTCTTTGGTTTTGTCACACCCTTATCTGTGTTTCCCACTGGTAGTCCTGCTAGAGTCTTAGGCTTCTTGCAATGGAGCAAGCTTCCTGCTTCTTTCATTCCTGATGATCGGACTCCGTTTCTTCCAGTCGGGCTGCACTTAAGTACACAAAGGCATTTCAACAGACTGTTGCTTGAAGTCTTTCATCTTGAATCTATCTTTTAGCATTGCAAAAGGTTAATGCTGCCACTGTCTTAAGGATTTTCTTATAGTTGCGTCAGATCTATGCTAAGGTTTAGGCCTTTTTTTAATCCTTTTGAGTTTTTGTTTGGGGCGCTGCCCACCCCCTTCTTTTTGTACCTTATCCCTTCTAATTCGATAAGAGAGGTTTGATAAGGTTGATGGGTCAAGATTATATCCTTCTGAAGTATTTTTCATTTTTGCATGATACCCTGACTGCAAATCATGTTTTCTGGATCATGATTGTTCTCAATTCACACATCAAAACACTTATATTTAATGTTATTTGGCTGTTATTCAATCACTAAAAAGTTTCTTAAAAAATATATATCCTCAATGCTACCTCTATTATTCAATCACTAAAAACTTGCTTAAGAAAGATCAATAAGAGTGAAGTATGTGGACCTGCAGACCTGCATTAGACACTTGAAAAGTACTACGGTAAATATCAAAAGAAAATTGCAGGAAATTGCTCTGCCGCCTCTGCGTAATTGAAGCGGCTTGGGATGCACTGAACCTGGGGTACAATGCACTGCCAAGGTACGAACGTTCAATGAAGCATCCTGAATTTAAGGGCAATGAAACCAAACTATGTTTATGGTTTTGAGTAGGCGTTTATGTTCGTTGTGTCTTTCTTCTTTTATTTGTTTAGAGAAATTCAGATTAATTTATGTTTTTGTGTTTCATGCTAAGGCGTGGGATGGAGATTGGTTTCTACTGGTGGAAGGACTTGAACTTTTGGTGAGATCCAACCGTCTCTTTTCTAAAACGTTTCTCTCTTCAACCTCTTCCACTTTACCAAAAGAGTTTACAAAAGACTTAATCTGATCTCTTAAATTTTGGTTTTTCCATATTTTTTTCAGGCATCCAGTAGTTGCCATGGGTATATATGATGCAGTTGTTGCCATCTGTAAGTTGTCGATCTCTACAGGTTGTGGAACACGCCTAATATATGGAGCCCATGCAGATTTCTATTGGCAAGGAATCAAATTGGGTTACCCATGCTCATGTACCACACTACAAGTACAAGGCACATATAGAAGGTAATACATGTGAAAACTATTACCTCACCCAACTTTTGCTCATCCTAAACAACCAAACCAAATATTTTTACATCACTGACCTAACAAGGAAATAATTACCAAAAGAAGTTTATACCATAAAAAAGAAAAAACAAGATATGCACTTCATATCTTTAAATTTAATAATGATTTTTCCAAATACTAAATGACCTCTAAATAAAAATCGTTAATGGGATTGATTTCGACTCTACTTGCATACACTGGGAAGTTTAGTTTAGGATATTTTGATCATTTCTTCAATGGGTTCTTTATTCGGGTTTAGTTTACGTATAAAACAATCTGCTATGGTGGCACTTCTTGGCAGTTTGGGTGACATTTTAATATTTTTTTTGAATTGAGGCATTCAACTACCCTACTGTTGAATACCTTACATTGAATGTGAAAACCCGTTGATAAACTATAGCTCCCCTTCCATTCAGTGACCGTAGATATTAAAACAGAGTGTCAGGCGGAGACCATGCCTTATAGGGCAAGCATTAGAGGTAAATTATTTCCGTGGGAAGAAGTACTTGGAGGCACGCGCCATAACAGTTAATGTTTTTTAAAATTTGGAATAAATGACTATATTGATATAGAAATTAGCAAAGTGAGTATATCGTTCCACACAAAATATATAGTATATGCAAGTAGCTTATTCCGATTTGTTCCGATGGTGAGATCAACACATTAGTTGAAACGAATTTCTTAGATGTTCTTCAGGTTTGTGTGCTTTTTTAAGCATTGGACTGAATGCACGGGTTCTAACTACCAGTCAGAGTCGAGGATGAAACTGTCAGTACGAACTTCATTTTTTTCCTGACGAGGGAAAACAATAAGACAGACTGCTATTCTTTAGTTTTTACGTCATTGGGGAGAAATTGAAAGTAGTTTAAATATGCATCGTGATTTCAGTGTATAGGCCTGCTAACCTAGAAAAACCTAAACTCTGTATGAGAGGTTACATATAACACTTACCACCCTCTTTTTTCTGACTCTGTATGTTACCATTAAATTTTGTTTAAATCTATGTGTCTATGCTTATATGATACAATGACCTGTAAATAAATCTTTTTTATCCTGCATACAGTTTCTAAGAGCTGCTTTTGAAGTCTAACTTAGCCAGATCTGAGGACAACTTTGAAGAATCCACACATCGTTACAATAAAAAAAGTAAGAAAAAAAATCCAAACTCTAAAACCTATTGAAACGTCTCTAAAATGATTCACTACAATTCATTGTTCTAATTACTTATATTTTTGGGCCATGATGGTTTTAAATGATTTCTTAAAAGCCCCCCAATCCTTATGCTTGTATGTAATCACCAAAGTTCTCTTCCAACAAATGGGATGTAATCGGAAATTTAACTTTTAACCTACATTTATTAAGGCAGGTACGGCTACACCTAGGTCATATGGCATAAAACCGAGATTGCTTCTAGGGATAGAACTAAGTGCCATCCAAACTTCAAGAAAAGGTATTTTACATGCAATTACCAGTTCAATTAAAATTGTTACAAAAATGCATAAGGAAACCACCTCAGAGCATATGGAAAGACAATATGCAACAACTACACATCCTCTTATAAATACTATTTTATTACTACATAATCAAACACACAAACTTAAACCTATATGGATATGAATATAAACAGCCATGAACACGAAATTTCAAGAAGGATATACCAACAAGCACGAAAAAGGCGGAAACTCATTCTTGAGAATAAGAGAAGCAAACAGAGGCAGATGAGCACAAGTGGTCAGACAACTCTAACCACAGAAGGTATGGCAGGTATAACACCAACTATAACAACTTTTTTATAGTGAATTGTACCTTTCTTTAACATACTTCTTTCCCGATTACACATTTCAATGTTCATATTTCAATAGGCACCCCAAGAAGAAATCAGCCCCAAACACAACAACGCACATGGCATGAAAATAATCCAGGTAAGTTTATAACTACAGAACACACTACGAATACAATTTCTAAAATATTTACATTGTTTCTTAATTAGAAATCAGCAAAAAAACCCATTAGTTTAGCACTTCCTGAACTACGACACTTGGCAGATCCTAACAAATATCAGAGGTATTTCATAATAACCCATCAACAAAATGTTTGTTTTTGAAGCATCCTATCTCAATTTATGGCCCGTTTTCCATGAATGTCTGGTTATGATTCATCCACTATGAAATTGATATATACTTGCAATTTATTGCAGATTCATTTATATGTGCTGCTGATTTAGTATCAAATTTATTTTAGACCTGTTTGGCAGCCTTATGTGCCGCATTTGTATTCGGCATGATCAGTATACCTACCTCTTGACTAAATTAGTTGGCTAAAAGGATAAAGATTGAATTTAGAACATATGATTTGAATGTAGAACTTTTATTTCTCTTTATAAATGAGTATCATATAATTTAAATGTACATGAAAACCTGGATGAATGTTTCATTGCTTTTGTGTTCTAATTAATTGTTCAGTCAGTGTTAAGTTTGGCATTTATTAAGGATTCCCTGCTTCAATCTATGCTCTCTCTCACTCTATCCCTTTTTCCCCTGGATCACTTACACTATGTTTGCTTTACACTATGTTTGGTTCAAGGAATTATGAAGGAAAAGAAAAGAAAATGATTTTCTCTCATTTTCCTCGCCAAAATGGGAGGAATTGGGTTTTCCCTCCACTTAGTACATTTCGTCTTCTCATTCTCTTTTCCTTCCACTTTCCCTTTCTAACCAAAAAAAAATAAACTTGTTTTTCACTTCATTTTCTTTTCTTTTCTCTTTTAAATTCCTTGAACCAAACATAGTGTTAAGGAATTTGAAAAGGAAATAAATTAACATGAGACCAAATCCCTGCCATTTGGGCGAGGGAAATGAAAGAAACACATTTCCTTTTATTTTCTACTGCTTCATGATTCAAAACACAATGTAACTTAATCCCATCTCTTATGCACTCTTTCTTAAATTTCTTTAATAGTTTTTTTTTTTGGAAAAAACAATTTGTTATACTAAAAAAACCACTTAGACAACATGAATTTCTCAAAATACTTAGACGCCCTTAGTCACATCCTTATGTTTTTTATCTTCATTGTTAATGTGGCCTTTCTATTTCTTTGTTCTATTTCACAAGCATCTGCTGCAACACTATTCAGGAACCAAAAACTTGCCTGATGCAGATGACAATCGCTGGACATGGAGATTTATTTATGCAAATAATGCTTAATGCTCTATAATAAAGAAAAATTGGTGACAGCAACTACCTTCGTTACCTTTAACGGTGGTTTCTATAATGCCCAAATTCACTAGGGCATGATTTTGTAATAATAGATCAACTTTACCACCCAGTTTTACTTTTACTTTGCTCTTTAACTTAGGTTGTTTTTTTATTATAACTGACACTATTAAGACAGATTCTCATGGCACAGTATTTTAGTTATTCATCAAGAGAAAGTTTTCTTTGTTTGTTCACCTCAACCCGGCTTTCGTCTAAACTATTAAGAGTTACACTCCTATTTTTAGAGAAGCTTTAATTTAGTCCTCTTATAATTAAAATTATTTGGGAATTTATAAACTTTCATATTCATTTTTTTAAAAAACACGTGAACTAAATGGTTAAAAATTGACAGCCAAAGAGCATACTCAGAGTATTACGTTTTCGATATTATTACGAGTCTAGATTCTGTGAACATTGTTTATAGTTCTTAATTCTTGAATTGTATTTGCAAAGGAAAGTCTACTACCCAAAGAAAATATGATTGGCATAACAATCAATAACTAATTTCCAAGGAACAAACACGTGCATACATCCCCAGCCCGTGCAAAGCACGGGGTAAACAACTAGTAAATATGTATACTCACACCAGTTGTATTCGATGTAATTTTTACATGTACGGTCGAAAAGGTGTGCCTCCAGCAAATTCAGATCCAATCCAGCTGAAGCAGTTACCACGCAGCTGTATGTGTCTAAAATTGTGATCTTCCCTATTCCTGGGGAAGAATCAAACAGAACATCTTAATCATAAAATGAATTATTATTTTTTTGCCTGTAGTATTTTCTTGATATTATTATTATTATTATTATTATTATTATGATACTAATATTAGAAAAAATAAAGTGATAATAAATTAATAATACATACATGAACATTTACCAGTAGTCCACAACAATGTACTATCCCCATTGTCAATTTTAAGTCACCCAACACAAAAGAAGAGACCTAAATGAAGACAAAACAGTGACAAAGAGGGACATGAAGGTAAAGTGAACACTCCATGATAATCAAACAACAACAACAAACTGTTTAGTGACTTCCGACTCTCTGGCTATTGCGAAAGATTGAAGGGCGTAACTCGATCGTAAGGCTAAGGCCGGTGTATTTACTAAAAACAATACTAGGGTATCAAAAACGGTCTGGTCCGGGTTCAATACAATTTTAAAATGGGGAACCGGACGGACCCTAATAAAATCTATAAGGACCAGACCACCAAACCAGACTGTTACAAATTTTTGAAAAGAAGACCTGCCCCTAACCCGAAGGGAACCTGGTGGTCCAGTTCTGACTCCCGGTTCCTTGACCTGTTTGCCCACCCATAATTTGATCTATCGTCCTCCTAAATGTAATCATTTGACTACTAACATTAACGTTTATACATAAATTTATTGGTAAAATTTTGATATTTCAAAATGAAATTCTTCATTTTACATTTACCTAAAAAATAATACTCCTTCCGTTCTCAAAAACATTTCCTCTTTCATTTTTTTTCACTTCCAATAAAATACTTCCACTCTCTATTAAAAAACCACTTTCACCCTTCTTTTTTCATACCCTACCTATCACATCATACTTTTTTTCTAATAATCTACCCATCACATCTTACTTTTACCCATCACATCAAGGGCAAAATTGGAAGTCAACTACATTTTAACACTTCCTTATTTTTCCACGTTTTCAAAGTAGGAACTCTTTTTGAGAACGGAGGGAGTATATTTTTTTGGCATGTCAAGTTCAAAGTTTGAATCAACCCCACCTAATGTGATAAGGCTTTGTTGTTGTTGTCGAGTTCAAAGTTCACAAATTTTAACAAAAAAATCAGATAAATGGATAAAATTTGGATGGATTAAAAAATGTTTTTTTAAGACTATTAACACAACATGGTCCTATCTCCATTTAAAAAAAACATTTTCTTCTTTATTTGATCAGGTCTGCAAACGGACTCTACCGTGTAAGGAAAACACACAAATAAACAAGAAAAACCAGGATGACCTAGACCAAGGAAAAACTCACGTGTCTGAAACTATATACGCCCTCCATCCCATAAAACCTTTCTCCTTTCTTTTTTCATCCGTCCCACAAAACACTTCGCATTTCTATTAAAAAGTCATTTTTACCCTTTACTTTTTCATACCCTACCTATCACATCATACCTTTTTACTAATAATCTATCCATCAAATCATACTTTTACCCATCATATCAAAGGACATTTTTGGAAATTCAATACCAAAATACACTACCCTTAAATCACTCTTATATTAGAAAGTAAAAGTCACATGTTTCACGGGACGGAGGGAGTATTTTATTATGTCTCAAGAGTGTACAATTATGTGAGTGAAAGTGATCTCCCCTCCCTCTATTACAATTTATTTACAAAAAAATGGAGGGGGTTAATTAAGGTAACTATCTGCTACTCAAACGCAAGCATATCGCTAAATCAATGCCCAATCATGAAAATAACCATGTGACCCGCTGCTCATCAATTTACTAATGAGTGTCAATCTCGCCGTCAATTAGTCCTCTAAGCATGATGGTGGGGCGGGATTTTCACTACGTGATTAACTCTAGCGGATGGCGGGGCAAACTGGCTGGATCACGCATGCCACAAGATCCCATACTCTCTCTTGTGTAGACCATACAATTGTGACCATGCAAATATGACTGTGCACAAAACATGACCGGCCATCCATGCAGTTACGACTATACAAATGTGGCCATGCACCAAAAATGTCCGGTCATCTCCCCTACACACCATGTAGTTACAACCATGCAAATGTGGGGGCACTCATTAAAGGTATTTATTGAAGGTTAAGGATATTTTTTTTTAAATGATTTGATCAAAATAGAGAAACAAACAATGGTCAAGTTATAAGTGAGTCTATAAACATAGAAAAATATGTCTACATCCGACGACTCATAAAATTAAAATGGTTTGTGATGGAAATGAATTCAAACTATATATCCGACTTGACGATGGTCGGATGGATTTGATGAGAACATAATGAAGAAATGTATAGAGCTTGAGAATACGCAACTTATGTTATTGAATTGTTATGTTTGGCTTGGGGATTTACAAAGTGATGGAGATATGGGCTCGTCCCTAGGCCCATCAAGGATAAGCACGGCCTTGGATATGGGCATGTACCCAAGGCCCAAAAGGTTGAGCTAGTCCATGAATTGTGCACGACCCATTGGACCCCCCTCCCCCTGGCTTGATTGTAACGATGTTGAGTCTGTGTTTTGGGTCCCGTATCTCAACCGGACAACCATCATGCTCGGCTTACGGCTCCCCTCATGCCCAGTCTCTTGGGGTTGAGCGAAGTTATCCCCTAGGGAGCCGTAGGCACCAGTGACCAAAGTAGGGGGTGTCATCAAAGGACGACCCATCACTGAGTACGCAAAAAGGTGGTTAGGGAGAAAGTAATGCATTGGAGGAATGAGACAAATATAATTAAGAGGCCCATGGGCCTCTTTGACTAAGGAAAAACAAGAATCGGTCCAAAATCGAGTGTATAAATAGACCTCCTCCTTCAATAGGGGGTCATATTCCGAGTTATTAAATTATTATCATAAGCTTTTATCTACTATTGGTACTACCCCATCCTTAAAATCCATCAAGTGGTACTTTCATTGAGAGTGTCGAATACATCAAGATTCACCCTTTTCTAAAGTTGGAATTTGCAGAGTACTTCATGTCCCAAATTATTAAAGAATATAATAGGTATATAACCAAACTTCCATATAGAATTGATGAACAATAGCCATAGAGGAGAAGAAAGCACAATTTTACGTAAGGAAAATCAAGGTGTGGAGGGAAGCGTGAGAAAATATACTCCCTCCGTCCGGAAATATTCTTCTCGTGTTTACTTGACACGCTTATTAAGGAATAGTAAAAAAAATGTAAAATTTTCAAAAATGCATATACTATAAACTTTTAAATCTCCTTTTATTATTAAAAAAAAGTACCAAAAAAGTAGATTTATGATAAAATAGAAGGGTATTATTGATATTTATCCTTAAAAAGTATACTAAAAAAGGAAATGAGAAGAATATTTCTGGACGAACCAAAAAAGAAAATGGGAAGAATATTTTCGGACGGAAGGAGTAACAAAGAAGATTTAAGTTTAGAGATAATCAATAAAGCGGTCAATATAATTAACAGACCCGTACCTTACCTGACATGAACCTAATTTTAAATGAGTTTTTAAAACCCCTAAATTCTTATATTCATTGTATTTTTGGTACACATGTTTTGAATGTTTTAAAATTTATTATATTTTTGGTGTTTCATTTTCTATTTTGGAGAAATCGTGTCACATCTATGTTATTTTCTTTGTACTCTATTTATTATTAGTTAAAACTTACAATTTAATTTTTTGAGTCATTATATCATAATTATTTTTGTTAATATCTTAAATTCCGATCATCTTTAAAATTTAAAATTTTTAAGTTAGATTTACACTAAATTAGACTAAAACAGAAGTCATTTCTCAATGTAGGACTTAAACTTTTTTATTCCCTAAATAAGATTTAATAATGTCTAATGGGAGGAATAATGTTCAGTGGTGGTGGACATTTAATTGAATAATGACTAATAGATAATGACCAATGGTACTACATTGAGAAATAAAAACATATGGTCCTATATTGAGAAATCATTATGTTTTAGTCTTATTTAGGTAAATTCTCAATTTTTAATGTATTTCAATCTTAAATTTTTCATAAATGCTTTTATTGGTATTCAAATTTGAATTTTACTATAATGGACTCGGTCGAATCTTAATTCAAATCCAAACTAAAAAAATAAATATCTGGAATCGATCCACCAAGATCAAACACGAACCTGACCAAAGTCATGTTGAATTTGAATATACTCAAACCCGACCGTATTAGACCCGTTGTCATCCTAAGTATAAACACAAAACATTGTTTATAAAAACCAAACATCAAAATTTTAGGGATGCGGGGAACAAACACCGGACAACAAAAAATAACTATGTTGCACTGGGCATGACAAACACAAAATATACTCTATTTTTATTTGCAAATAGATATACCAATAAAAATAGAAATTACATATTAAAAAATTACATTAAAAGTTCTATAAAATAAAAAGTGGTAAAAGTATTTTATTTTATCAAATAATCAATGAAAATACACAAATAAACAAAAATTATCGAGACGAGAGAGAAATCAAATTATAATAAAAATTGAGATGAAGAAGTTTATAAATAAAACTATCATTTGAAATGTCAATTTCAATAGATTTCTATGCAACAACAAAGTTTTGTCTTACTAGGTGGATAAGCTACATCCAACAAAAAAAAGTAAATTCTATAAATGGTCTCTAATTGTCGATGATTTGCCATATTTAGCTTTCAATTATAAAAAATTACATAAATGGTCATCGATTTATAAAAAAAATCATAAATACTTCCTCCGTCCCAATTTAAATCCCCCGTTTTGACTTTTGGGCATATTTAAGGAAAATAAAAAATAGAGTTGATTTTTCGAAATTGACATTACTTTTTAAGAGGGGTAATGATGAATGAGAAGATAAGGTGAAAAAGAGTAACTTATTTTAAGGGTAGTTTAAGTATTTTATTTTTAAAAGTTTACGAAAATAACTAACATGCAATTTATTTTGGGACGGAGAAAAACGGCAAACAGACAATTTAAAATGGGACGGAGGGAGTAGTTCTTTAGGCGAAATATGATAATATTTTTTCCCACAAATAGTCTCTAGAGGACCAATTATGAAATAATTTTCAAAACTGGAAACCATTTATGCAATGTCTTATAATTGAAGACTAAATAGGAAAAGTCATTTATAAATAGAAACCATTTAAAAATGCCAAACACGTAAATGAGTACTATTGTAAGAAACCAATTCATTGAATCGTAAATACAAATGCGTATTAACAAGAACATTAATTTGTTTAAGAATGTGATAATAATGAGATTCAAAATCACGACCTTTGAATCAACAAGATTAATGATACCATATTAAGAAACTAAATCAACAACAAAAATTAAGCTCGTGATTGGTGGCCACAGAAATACTAAAAGGAATTTTACTTAAATAAAACTAAAACATAATGACTTTCCCTTAATAGCACCACATGTGTTTTTCTTCCTAATGTAGCACTTTTAATTATTATGCATTAGTCAGTATTCAAGTAAATATTCGCCATCACTGGTCATTATGGACATTATTAAGTGCTATTTAAGGAATAAAATAATTTAAGTGCTATTTAGGGAAATGACTTAAATTTTAGTGCTATTTAGTGCAAATATTTCATAACTATAAACCTTCAAAGGTTAAATTTCTGTGGACATCAATCACGAGCTTAATTTTTGTATAGGTATGAAGATGCTCAAAGATATATATGCTACTTATTTATCCTAGTTAGGATTATATAGGTAGGAGATGATGCAGACTAATGATCAAATGGGCACTACCAACTATACCTATGACTCATATGATGATCCCTCCAACTGTGAAATCAAGTGGTTTAATAATTCATAGCAGCAATTGCCAAAGATGATTCAAAAGTTGAGTTAAAAAAACCATGAACACAATCAACGAGTCTAGACTGTTTCCCATTAGCAGAAAAGAACACAAACAAACAAAAACAACATAATCTGTTCAGTTTCTACCAAATCCTTTCCTTGAGCATCCTCATGCTTACAAACCTACACACAAAGAAACAACCCAATAAGACATGTTTACATTTTGCACCTAAATCATGTGATGAACCTAGTGGAAATAAATATACATACAAAAGCAATTATTATTTCCATGTATAAATTTCAATTTACTATGATAGAATTAAACAAAGTGTACTCAAGCACAAAAATCAACTACACTCATCACTCTGATCTCATATCAAATTCAACTTGAGCTAGTAGGGGAATGCAACTGAGTGCAAGTAATAGGCTTTTAATATAGTTTGGGCAACACACAATTGGGTTTTTTACCTCATTGTTATAACTCAAGAGCCAGTCTCTTTTTGCTTTAAGTTCTTCCTTTTGTGTCGTGGGATTTCAGCTTTTTCTTTCTCCAATACACTTGACAGCAAATATGATAAATTTGGTTCCTGAAAAAAATAAAAACATTAATAAGCAAATAGACTTGCATGTGTAATGCTTAACTATTTTTACCTCCTGTGATTGGTGGATCTTCTTTTTTAGTTCACTTAAAACATCACCCAACGACTGGGCAAAGTGGTATGACACTTTATCATCCGTCACTCGCACTCCACTATAAATGCCAACGACTCTTCCCATAAAGTCAAAGACAGGGCCGCCCGATGAACCCTCGTGCCAACCGTACCCTGAAAACAAAATCCCCATGCCTTTGTATGTGGAGGAAAACACTTCATTTGATGAGGTGGATGGATGATGAACGGTTCCTTTCGCAAAAGCAAACATAAGAGGTGTGGACCTAAAGGCTGGTGCTGTAATGCTATAAACCTCTGCCCCAAAGGAGATAGGTTTGGTATGGAGGTTCGCTACAGACACTTCTTCGCCCAAATCTTCTTCCACATGTAAAACACTGAAATCTAAATCCTTGCTTTTGTAAACCAGTTGGGCCGAAAACATTTTAGATGCACAGTTTGTGACACTAATCTCGATTGATGAGAGGTCCATGGAGTCAAATATATGAGACGATGTCAAGACTGTAGAGCCTTTGTTGTTATTAGACAAGAGAAAACCCAGGCACTCCTGCTTTGTATCACTGTTCTTGCTGTAAATTCTAATTAGGACCTGTGATGCAAAGCTCTGAAGAATTAAATTTCCCCATTCTCCATTTGCACATTGCTTCAAAGCATCAGTAAACGATGGGTAAGAGTTGAAGTCCTTGTCCACATCTAGGCCATTGTCTAGGCAATCATCTTGGGAACAAGTCTGCAAACAAGGAAGATTAGGAGATTAAATACTCAAAGTTAACTATTTGGGTTCATAAATTAAGCACAATAAACATGAACACTCACAACGGTAGTAGACGTTATTTTTACACGTCTACCCGTACTCTCGAATAGGTGTGCCTCCATCAAATTCAGATCCATCCAACCCATCTGAAGCAGTTACAACGTAGTTGTATTTGTCGAACATTTTAATCTTTCGTATATCTACAGGGGAACAAAAGTGGCTCTAATAATAATAATGATAATAATAATAATTAAAACATGCCTGCGAAAGATTTCAGAGCACTGGTGAATTCCAATTCACAGTCTTCACAATCCTGGTGAATGTGGACCACTACCGTAGTGAGTGTAGTCCCCTCAAAGCATTCCTATAATAAGAATACAAACAAGAACAATAATAATAGATACTCCGTAATAATAGATGATAATAGGTCATAATAATAATGAGTTAATGACAATAGATAATGTGTGTAATGCGATCGGGGGTCATAATTGTGTAATCATTTGACCACTAATATTAACATTTATACATAAATTTATTTATAAAATTTTGATGTTTCAAAATGTAATTCTTCATTTCACATTTACATAAAAAATGATATATTTTTTTGGCATGTCGAGTTCAAATTTTAAATCGACCCCACCTAATGTGATAAGGTTTTATTGTTGTTGTCAAGTTCAAAGTTCACAAATTTTAATCCAAAATTTATGTGACCCCATTTGGAAGTGGCAAGCCGGAGAACATCGGCATCATTCGTGCTACTCCTCTAGGACCGAGTGCATTCCTTGTAAACTCCGTTAAATTTTCTAATATGATAAAAGCTAGTTCCCGTCAAATCGTGTTCTATTTTGATACTCTAAATTCAGTAACTACTATGCATATTGTATGCATAAAACTTGTGATGCAAAAGTAGAATTACCCATTCCAAACTCCCATTCACGACAATTACAAGTCTCCTTCATATCAAAGCTTTTTCAGTTATGCCATCACGTGCAAATTCAAGTGTAAAAAAAGCACATCAACAAAAAAAAGGAAATGTGAAATCTAGTCAGAGTTCATATCTTTATCTTCTCCAGAGGTCGACGACGACGACGACTTCGTAAACCACGGAATCCAAACCGGAGTCGTCTTCTGGTAGAGTCTGTATGCTTTAGCTCGGTCAGCGCGTTTGACCATTCGTCTCTCGACGAGAACAGTGACATAGCCCAAGCACAAGGTGTTAATGAGGGAGCCAAGAAAGGCCCAACCATGTCCCATACCCCAAGCAAACATCCCCAGCCCCCACCACCATAACTGCTCCCCAAAGTAGTTTGGGTGGCGGGAGTACTTCCAGAGACCCGTGTCGAGCACCATTTGTTGTTTTGGCCTTTCGTTCCTCCTGCTCACAAAGTCGTGGAGCTGCGTGTCGGCGTAATAGGCAATTGTGATGCCGGATGAACACATGGTTATGGCAACAAAATCCCAGAAGTTCCACGGCTTGTTCTCTGAGTGGACGACGTACAAGGGCATGCATATTCCCATTATAAATACCTGCAAGGCCAAGCGGGGATCATCGAAGCTCATTAGAAGATGAAAAAGCAGTGACCATTTGGAATTGTAAACCCCTCCTAATATTTCAAGAGTTTCTAAGTTGCAATGAGAGATGGTGATAAATGGGAATCATTGGAAATTGTTTAGCAAAACATAGCGTAGCCATTCGGAATTGTAAACTCTTCAGAAGAAGAAAAAACCTTCTTAAGTTTGTAGTTGAAAATACTCCAACATAATCTACTTCTCCAAATTAAACATAGGGGGTGTTGTTACTTCAAAAACGAAAGGGTTGTGTACACAAACTAGATCAAACACGAAAATACGGCCAAAGAAACCACAATGGCACGAACGAACAAGGTACGAGCATAGACAAAAGAAGCACACATACCAAATTTAACATTCAGACCCAAAGCACAGATAGCACACAAGCACAAGCTACAAACTAAGGCTTTATCCAACTTGTGAAATTTCATTGAGGCAATTCAGCGAACAGTTAGGATGCATAAAGAAAAAGAAATACAATGCCCACCTGCTGAGACAGGTAAACGGCGAAGAAAGAGATCCACCACCAATTCTTGCCGTACTTGCGACCCATCTCAGTGAATCTCCAATCCTCCCTGGCGCCCCACAGCCACTTCTCGCGGCGGAAGTAGCTGTGAGTCAGCCTAATACTCCACGCCCACGTCAGCAGCACAGCCACCGGCGACCTCCGGGCATTGTACTCCGCCGACGGGTGGCTCCGGTAGTAGTGCGCCAGCAACACCGGTATCACCGTCCAGTACAAATCAATCATCTGCACACCATTTCAGGAGGTCAAAAAACCCCAATCAACATTTTGTAAAAAAAACTGTTTTTTTAATAAAAAAACACCGGATCAGGAAATTCGTCGGAAAATTAAGGTTTTGGAATCGACCCAGTGGCTGCATTGGAGAAGGGCGATGATCCAGAAGAGGAGGTTGACATTGAAGAAGAAGAAGAGATGGGCAAGAAGGACGGGGTGGCGGTAACACCATTGCCAGAGAGGTGATTCTTGGCGGTAATGGCGGTGGAAATAGAGGTAGAATAGGATTGAAGGGAGGGAAGACAAGGCAGCTACCACCGCCTTCTTGAAATTGTTGATGTGTGGAGAAGAAGAAGATTTAGAGCCCATTTCTACTTTCCTTTGTGTCACTCAAATTAATTTGGCTTTGTTGTTGCTAAAAAATTGAGCTCTTTGATTCTTCATCAATCTCACATTCCCAAAATAAAATTTTCTTTTTTTATTTTTAAAAAATCAATTTTGTTTTTTGTTTAACAATAATAACTATATTATAATGTAATATATGTTTATTCATTCTCAACTCATTAAACATGTAGAGTCATTACCCAAATTCGCGGGATCAAACTTATAATTTCAAGAGTCATTATCACGACGCTAGACCATAACCAAATACGGAATATTTTTCGTAATCTATGTAGATATAGTGAAACCGGATAATCTATTATTTACAAAAGGAGTACTCTCCTTCCATCTCAAAAATACCTTTTGATTGAATTTAGTATAAAGTTTGATAAAAGTGAAGCTGCGAGATTAAAAATGATGGAAAAAATAGAAAAAGATGTTGGGTCACACAAAAGTTGCCAAATATGAAAAAAGATCTCTTTTTGAAAGACATTTTTAAAAAGAAATAATGATTCTTTTTTGGGACCGAGGGAGTGTGTTTGGTTATTATGTTTTACTATTTTGAAAGTATTATTTAATGACAATTTTTTTTATGAACCTAAGGTTCATTGTGGACTATATCTACTATTGAAATAAACATTTTTAAGTTTTTTTAAAAAATGAATAAATAATTTTTTTTGCGAAAAGATAAATAATGATAGTTAATAAAGTCAAAAAAATAAATGCATATTTATATATTCCCCATCGAGATCACCATAGTTTGACAAATTGATAAAATAAAATATTTTTATCATTTTTAAATTTGCACTAACTTCAAATTAAATTTTGAATATGTAATTTTCATTTTTTATATTAATTTTTTAATAAAATTGTAAATTTTAAAAAAGTAATATTACAAAAATAAATCGGATGGGTTTTCATCGTCCCGCACTAAAAAAAATCCGCCCTCTTTCTCTGGGAAAAGCTCAATCTCTCTTTCTCTCTCCGTCTGTTCGTCGGAGGAAAGAAGCGGCCGCAGGCCAATCCAATTTCACGATCTGCCCAGCCGCCGATTAGAGGTTCTCAAAATCGGCTACCGGTCAGGTATTTTGTTCATCAACGCATCTGATCTGCTTTTATCCTTTATTACCGCGTGCGATTTCAACGTGATGAAGTGAAATTGAATTATTTGCGACATATTTCGTGATTCATCTACATTGGAGCCGAAGATGTACTCTTTCAACAGGATGAAGTGAAATTGAGTTATATGCGCCAATATTCTCTCAAATAGGAGTAATTTATGTATTTCTAATGTGACTTTCATATATATAATTTACCCCAATTTCTGCAGTCGAATCGAATTGTAAATGCAGACGAAGAGCTTCACTCTATTGCAAACAGTTTCCACTGCAGGCGTATTCTCTGCTGTTTCTTTTTGGTGATTACTTCTTCTTTCTATTATTTTGCTTGAATTTCTATCTTCAAAATATGTTTTTATTAATCCGATCTACACAGGTACGGGTTCATGTTCGGCAGAGAGTCAGCTCGCCAGGAGCTTGGAGGCTTAATCGACAGTCTCCGCCGCAACAATTCTGATTCTGATTCGAGTTCTTCTCCTCCTCAACATACATGAGTTTGCTGGTAATGCTGATCAATTTATCTCTTTGTACTATGATCTATGAATTGAGATGAATGATTCTTTGTAGTTTTGCAATTTGAACAATTGTAATGATTTTCCCAGACCCTACTGTAGTGGGATTCAACTGGGTTGTTGTTGTTGTAATGATTTATTAGAGTCAATGAACATGGTGCCTTCAACTCTTTTTGATAAATGAATTCAGAATTTCTTTGGGCAATTAATGAGTTCACTCCAAGCTTTTGGATGTGTGATTTTTAACTCCACATTTAAGGGTTGCCTTATCATAGAATGGAATTCTCCCATTTGTAGGGAAGAGTTTCAGGCAATTTTGTTCAAAGGGTGTAGGAATGAATGTAACTTGTGACTTCTAAATTCTAATACTCTCTCCATCCCCTTTTCCTTTTTTGGAGGCTCTAATTAATGGTTCTCTTTTCTTGTGAGGGATGAATTATGTTGTATATGTTGATTTTCTCCTTTCCAAGTATATCTTTTTCATTTTACGTTGTATCTAATTTCCGTGTAAAAAGCAAATATGAACAGAAGTGTTAGGTTTTATGAAGGAGAGTGAGAGAGAGAGAGAGGGGTTAATGAGCTTAGTGTATAAGTAAAATATACCCCAGTAAGTGTAAATATTTCAAAACAACCTGAGAATATTTAATTAGGTGATTCATCTCCAATTACATGTGTTTTAACTGCATCTTATGTGCACCAGTCCTAATGCAGAAAAGATTTTTGGATTGAAGAACGGGAGGCTAAAGGTTTCTGGGCGTCCACGAAGCACTCTGTTACATTAAGGAACATAGTTTTGGAAATTGTATGATTAAGTCAGACTGTGAAGAAGCAATTTTGGCTCTATAACAAGTTCGTGATCATTCTTGTATTGTCCGTACGGGTATTCTTTTACTTCTAAGCTAAGTCCAGTAGCTCACCAACGTCTGTCTCCTACATAGAACCAATTACGTGACATTTTTTATAACTTTGTTTTATGTTTTCATTTTGCTTCTTAAATGAAGATTGGATAAAATAAAACTGTGTGATTGAAATATACTTCTATAAGAGTATAGACCACAAAATCTTTTCTTCCAATTGGGAAGGATTAGTTAGAGACCCTCAAAAAGAAAAAAAAAATTGAGTATAAGAATTCAGATGTTACATTTTTCCTACCCCTTTAATTAAAAAACAAAAGACTAACTCTTCCTTGAGAATTTCATGCCAATAAGGCAAGAATTAACTGTGGAGTTAGAAAAAAAAAGACATCCAAAAACTGGGAGATTCCTAAATTCATTTATCAAAACAAAAATGCTTGGAGATTCCTAAATTCATTCATTCCAAAAATTGAGTAAACTTCGGCGTCAATTTGGTGCCAAATGCTTGATGTCCCCCTAACACCGCTCTCTTATAATAAAAAAAAAAGTGTTTAAAAAAACATTTATCACAATTCATACAACAAATTCATGTATGCAGAGGAAATGAAATCAAATCTAAATCTAAATTGATGCAGTGAGGGCTGTGTACGAATAAGTATTTTTGAGTAAATTTTTTAAATGTTTAAATATTACGGAGCACTACGTAATTACTAGTTACTGCGGGTTTTTTTTTTAAATTAACGCCCGTGATAAAAATAATTTTCAGATAGGAAATTTTCAAGCAGGCTCATAGTTTTTTACAGTACTAAATACTCCAGTAATATTTTGAGGCGAATGAATTATTATCTTGCATGGTGGCACACCGTTTCTCCTAGCGCCCTAGAATTGATTGTAAAAAGACATTCTCTTGTAAAATGGATGTTACAACGTTCTGGCACTTCATGAATTTAGCATTTTTTGAAGAACAGAAAAAACAATTTATGGTTATGGATGTAAATATTGCATATATCTACGAGGATCTTGATATAGATATATACGTTCTCTGTTCCTAAAAGAATTTTGTTTATTCATCATTATTTTTTCATTATTCATTTAATTAAATATTTTTCAGAGTAATTCTTTTTATGTAGAGTATGTTTTATAAAAAAAATTGCAACTTTCATATAAATTGAATTGAAAAGAACTTCAATCAAATATTGCAATCCACGAAAAGAAAATCTAAAATAAAAAAGAGTATATGTTCTTTCCAACTTATTCTTATTGAAATCAATTTAAATCATAAGCTTTAAATTAACAAAAAAATAAATCAAAACAAACCACCTTAATAAAATTAGATTAAATATAAGACAAACACAGAAAACCTTCAAAGAAAGGATAAAAGAAGAGTAAATTCTATAATTGGTCCTTTATAACAGGGGAGTTTCCCTATTTAGTCCTCTATTATCAAATATTACCGAAGTGGTCATTTTTTATGGGTACCTTTCCACAAATAGTCCTTTTTTGATCTTCTATCAAGTTGGTGTTAATTTGAGGGTTAAAAGTGTAATTTCACAACGATAATATATCTTTTTTGTCATACACAATTCTAATGGTTGTTCCGTTTGCGTCGTTTGTGAATTACAGCCGCTTTTTACGACAACTATAGTCTACAAATGTGATCTTTCGTCAGAATCCTAGCCCACAAACATAGTCATTATTTTTGTGTTATCCGTTTAACCAATATCAGAACACGTCACTAGATATAATGTTGACGTCAAATTGTATTTTTAGCCTTTAAATTAACACCAACACGGCAGAAGATCATAAAAAAGACCATTTGTGGAAAGGTACCCTTAAAAAAAGGACTACGGGGTAATATTTAATAATAAAGGACTAAATATGGAAACTCATATGTTATAAAGGACCAATTATGAAATTTACTCATAAAAGAACGATGAAACATGCCCTATATATATTCACAAAGAAAACAAGCTTCAAATTTGCAGTTGTAGCTGTCTACGTTGAAGACACGAACATAATATTACTCTTGATAAACTACAAACTGACAAACTACTTGAAATCTTAATGATGAAAGATCTAGGAAAAACACGATTTTGTTTAGATACAACAAAGCAATTGGCAGGAATTATAATAATATCAAGAAACTAGAATTTGATGAGTAGCCAAAAACAGCAAACTTTAAACATTAACAAAACAAACCAAACCAAACCATATCACACTGGCTGCAGATTACAAATACAGACTGCAAACAAGACTCTAAAGTAATAAGCTTTTGGCAAGATGAATGCCAAAAGAAGCTCTACCTATACATCCCACACGACCACCATTGCTAAGATTTTTTCTTACAAAAAAGTTAGGTCAACAACTTCGATTGCGCTTTTAGTTTCTTTCGTTACTAGTTTCTTAGCAGAGAGGGGTCATAGCTATGTCAGAACTCAGAACGAAAGCAAATCACATCTATATGTTTTTTTTTGTTTGTTTGTTGGTTCATCTCTTGACATACTTTTAAGGTTACCAACCATAACACACTACAAATTTTACAATAGACCACTGAAGGCGTAAAAGAATACCATAGCAGAAGCCGATTTACACAGAGCTGCTTATTGCGTGGTGCGTGTTACCCTACTACTTCTTGCCATCCCACTCCTGCAAACACTAAGGCATTAGTTTTTTCAGTCTAAACAAGTACTGTCATACAAACTAAAATTAAAACGTCATGACACTTAGTAATAATGTTACTCCCTCCGTTAGGAATGAAGTCATATTTCAAAACCTTTCCATCTCAAAAATGAGTTTTATTTTGAGAAAAGAGTGTGATTTTCAATGAATTTAACATTCGACTTATATTTCTAAATTGACTTGTTCGTTTGTTTTATAAATAAGTAGTACTATGATGAAAGAGAACACTTTTTGGACAGAGGGAGTAGCTTGAAAATGTTTAGCTCAGAGACGCCCTGGTGGCAGGCATTGCATATGAATGGAAACCAACATAAGTGCTAATCTCAAAGCAAAAGATACTGAATGGCTTGAGGGGTAGGGAAGTTAGTAAAGTAAGGATCCAAAATTTGGTCAAACTATGATTGGGTTGGAATCATTGGGTAAGTTTAGTACTCCCCCATCCCTTAATTTTCTTTTTTTTTGAATAAAATCCCTTAATATTTTTACTTGTTTGACTTGAAACCATTTTTAATAAATTGGAATGTGTGTGGTTATGATTTGTAAAGAGGACAGAAAAAAATATGAGCCACACAATCATTTCCTTAAAAGGAAAGTTGAAGAAAATTTCGGGACAACCCAAGAAGGAAAGTGAGAAGATAATTATGCAACGAAGGGGGTAAATGAGAGGGAGGGAATCATATACGATTGTGGAGCTCTATTGTTGGGATTAAGAAATGAGATTGTGCAGTTATGGTATGAGGGGTGGCATGGAGATTAAGAAAAATAAGATTGTGCAGTTAAAAAGTAAGATAAAGTAAAAATGAATGTGAACCACAAATATGGCATGATTTATGAATAAAAATAATGAGAGAGAAAAAAAGTAAGATGGGACAAAAATAGTAGGGTGGAGGGAGTAACATTCATGAAAAAAATAAGGCACTTGCAAGAACAATGCTTCACTGCATCATATCTCCTTTTCATCAACCATACCACCACAGCCTCAATCCTATTCTCTAAGCACCTCACAGATAACTTGAAAAAAATATAAGCATGCTAATACGGAGTAAAACACAATCCCACCCAAAGAAATAATAATCCTTTTTTTCTTTTTTGACATAATCCTTATTTAATCTTCTAGACTTAACAGATAAATCAGCATACAACACGCATGAATGCTACAAATTATTGGAATTAGCATGATATGAATGTTGATAAAAACGGAGTACAGCTTAAGAGATCATACCTCCCAGGAATCAGCTGAGAGCTAATGACAGGGGCCTTTGAACTTCCAAGTCGCTTGGCCCTATTCTCTTGATCCTTCTCCACTCGCATTGCAGAAACTTCTTTTTCCATTGCGGCAACCTCCCTTCTCATCTTTTTGGCCTCAACTTCCATAGCTTTTGTTAGTGTCTCTACTTTCTTAGCTAACATCTGAACAGTAATAAAGAAGCAAACTTAGCCAAAAAACAAAAAATAAAACATAGTTAATATCTGATTTCTGATTAGTCTTTAGACTTTACTTCTCAAATTGATCATCAACTATGCAATTTAGATTCCATTTAGTCATATGGCATAGTCCGCATTTATTAAGAATGGCATTTGATACTGTGAGGAACGAGGATTATATCTGGTCCAAACTTCATAATTGAGAACCAAGTTCAATTCCAAATCGAATCTAGATTTAGTGAACAGACAAAAATATCCCTTTTCAAAACTAATAATGTGTGATGCCTAAATTGGGTCCAAATCATATAGTATAAGTGTAGAAATATAGGACTATATCAAATAAAAAAAGTTAAGGACAAAATTGAAAAATAGTGTACAGCTGACGCTACTGGGTATTAACTCAAAAGCATATACTCCCTTCGTCCCAAAATAAACTTTACTCTTCCCCTGTTTCCTATTAAGGGATGAAACATATGGCTCACAAGTTTTCTCTCCCCTCTGAACATTTCAACTCCTTGAAATCAAGCCACGAAGTTTATTTCGGGACGGATGGAGTATAAGAAGTTATAGGTTGAGTGTGGAACATACCTCGATTGCATCGTCCTTGTCTTTTAGACTTTGATCCTTTTCATGACAAGCTTTTCTCATAGAAACCACCTCCTTCTGTAGCAAGTCATATAATATTCCCGGGACAGTATCCTCAGTTTCTCTTACTTGCAGGTCATTAGGTTTTTCATCTTGATTTCCTTGCCATGCTTTTTCAGTTGTGGAATCCTTAGCTCCATCACAAGACTGAGTGAGCTTAAAATTTGGTCCAGTACCTGTAAGAAGGCTTTTGCTCCGGTCCAATGATCTTGAGCCACCATCAAATGACTTTGATGTCCCTTTTGCATGCTTCAGCACAGTACTCATCCCAGAAGACCTTGGATGTAGGGTTGGTGATCGTTTGGGCAAAAAGCCATTAGAAGCCAATCTTGCAATATTTTCTGCTCCACCTAGTGATTGCCGGCGTGAAGCACCATTGCTTGAACTTCTCCCATCAGGNTTCCATTGGGCAAGGCAAATAATAACTAACTTTCAACTGGGCTTCTGACTTTGCGGCTCGTTCAGAAATTGCAAGCTTATCTCGTAATTGTTGCATTTCTCCCTATGGCAAGATGAGGCAAGCACAACTCAGTTAAGCACTTAAAGGACACATAAAATATGCTTTCAGGTGTAGTTTGGTATGACATAATGAAATGTAACATGATCAAATGTATCTGTAATGTATAATTAAACTGAAAATACACTCTCTATGCCCCCCCCCCCAAAAAAAAATGTTGGAAGAACTTATTTGCTCCAAAAAGGAGTCCTACTTTAAAAGTCAAATTGTAACTTTTAAGTGAAATTCTTGCAAAGCCACAAAGAATTTTTGACAATTGCACAAAACAATCTGGTAAATAAGTTTTAGAGGTACGAATGACCATTCATAAGTTTTAAAAGCTTGTACCTTGATTGAGTTGGCTAAAAGTAAAAGGTTGCGTCTTACTCAGACATGACTTTTTTTGGAGAGAGTAACTTTCACCAAATAATATACCTGCAAGAATCTTCTCTCTTCAAGCCATTGTTTTACCGGCATTACTTTGTCATTAGAATCTTTCCACTCATTAGCAACCACTGTAGCAACCCTATTTGCAGTAACCTTTGCACGAGCCAACTCCCGGTCAAGAGTTTTTCTTTCTTCCTGAGGAAGAGATAAAAGAGAATAGGTTTCACTGATTCAGCATATGAGGTACTACTATCACTATGAAACTATTCAGTCAAATATGGTGGCTAAGTGGCTTATTCTAATAGTCAATTACATTCATCTCTTGAACTTTGCGCTGGTAATCTCGAACAGCATTAGCGGCGGCACCACCAGCAAGAACAGCCTCCTCAAGCTCGCGCACAGTTTGGGTAAGCTTTTCAACCTCTGCAACCTTTTGCCGATGCATTTTATCCAATATTTTGTTCTCTTCCTGAAGTATTTCGGGATTAGATTGCAAACTAGACTACATCGGGAAAAAGTAGAAATCATTTAAAAAGAAAACCAACACCAACAAATCTTGTACCTGGCAAATCTCTATTTGTTTCATAAGCTCTTGATTCTTGTTTTGGAGATCATCAACCATTGAGGCTTTCGCTAATGCCGACTGCACTGTTCTCTCAGCTTCGAGTAAAGCAGCCTCCTTCGATTTGGTAAGACGGTCTAATGCCTTGTTATCATCTTGAAGCTTTGCAATCTGGACGGAATAAAGACCAAAATCATGTTGGTGATACATATCTCTTACTGAGCTCGTAATGTTACATGAAAAGAACAATAACCTCTTGTCGAGCTAACTTAAGTTCAGCCTCCAAAGGCGCAAGAATTGCTTCAATTGGAGGCATATCATCATCTTTTTGAGCAGCATGAACCCTCCGAAGTGTGGCTTCTGCAGCAAACTGAGCAGCCATGGAGGCTCTCTTCTCATCATTGATTTTCTTAATTTCAAGATTCTGTGAAGAGCAAATGATTCCATATTACATAAAAGATTTAATAGAAAGAAATTGAAAATGAAGGTTAATGGAAGGGATTTATCTAGTACCTTGCTTTCAAGAAGAGACTCTGTCAGTTTGAGCTTTTCATTCACCTTTGCTAATTCATCAGTGAGCTAAAATAAAAGAATTGACAGATGAGTCAAAATATATCATGTTTTGACAGAAAAAAAACAATCTGATCCCTTGAATTTAAAAATCATAACAAAACAGAATGCGGCAAACATTAACAATTTCACATACTTTAACACCTATTGCCTCGAATACGCATTTCGAAGACATGCAGAGTATATCCTAATGCTTCTAAATACAAATCACAATATTCAACTTTCCCTTGCCATTTGTGATGGATTTGAATTCTCAACACATTTTCAATACTAAACAAAAAACAAAAAAAAACTCAGCAGAAAATAACAATATTGCACTATCAATCATCATACCTATCCACTTTAAAAAATCATCATCATACCTATCCTTTTTAAAATGGCTAAAGCTTGAATATGTTAATTTCACATCAATGATTTTCAGAAATGACTAGTTTTTCACACTTTTGGGGGCCTGAATTATGACAACTTAAAGCATTTTCTACAGAAAAAATGATAGAGAAGACAAACACCTTAAAGCTCGCATTGAGCTAAGTACATTCAGAGCTACCACACATTGGGTGAGTATTTACTATTAACAATAAATGATAGAGAAGACAAACACCTCTTCCACAGCTTTTTCCCTTAAGCGCTCAGAGAGCCTCAAAGCCTTTATCTCCGCTTGAGACTCGAACAATTCGCGCTCCTTATCTGCAAAAACAACAACCATCAACGGATCAATCAAACGCCATCAGGAACCAAATCGCACTGGATCCAGCTGACACTACTGACCTCTGAGCTCATTCTCAAGCCGATTGAGCTCCACCTTCACCGGATCCGAGCCATGTAGCATGTTTATGAAGTCATCCGCGTCAAGACTCCGCCTCGCCGACGTCCTCCGCCGTGACGCCTTCCCTTCCTTAAACGAAGCCGATGCAGTCAACGGATTCGGAGCCACTGATGCACCAGAGTCCGCTTGCGGCGGTCGCGCATTGCCACCACCGTCGCCGGAACTCCAGTCCGGCGCCCCCGTCACAACTCCGTCCCCGGTAAACTCCGACATCTCTGATCTATCCGCTTATCGCCCCTTTCACATCAAACACCTCACTTTTCGTAACGAGATTCGATTTATACACATACAAATCCAGATTAGATATGATTAGTATCACTATCAGTATCGATAAATATGCAATTTGTTTAGCTAAAGTGCCATTTAGAAAGAAAAGCAATGTACGGAGGGAGCTGAAGATGCTGTGCGCTTTTGTCCAAACGTGCCGTAAAGCTCAAAGTGCAGAGAACACTTTCTTTTGTTTAAAAATATGTATAAAAATTAAAAATAAAATTTACATATTAAAAAATTATGTCAAAAATAATGTAAGCTAAGAGTATTTCATTTTATGAAATAATCAATCAAAATAAAAAATAAATAAAAAATTCGTGACTTTAAAATAATGAAGAATGTAAATCCTTTATGGGACAGAAGGAGTAAAAAAGAAACTCCAAGGTCATATAAATATTTTTTGACTAAATATTTTTTGAGAAACTTCATATTATGTCTTCAATTTTAAGGTATTACATAAATAGTGATCAATTTTTATAAATTATTCCGAACACACTTTCAAATGCCGATCCCCCGATCACAACTTACATGAAAGTTGCTTTTTACACGTCATCCCTTCAGCTAGCAGCTAATCACGTCAACCAAAATAAAGTTACACCAAAGTAACATCGTGCAACTGGTAATCACGTCAACCAAAATAAGGCTACACCAAATAAAGCTGATCATGTCAACCAAAATAAAGCTGGTAATAAAGTTGATCACGTCAACCAAAATAAAGCTACACCAAAAATCACCGCCTGCAACTGGTAATTGTTATTGGGTGCCAATACCTCCAACCAGTCTCGTCGAGTCTCCATAGTTTGAGCACCAATGATGGCGAGGGAATACTATTCTTTCACATGGCTTGGTTACGCCTTTTCCATCACGTCAAATGGTTATTGCCTCTATTTGTCAAAGACCTTTTGAATAATTAATAACAATTTCTTTCTTTAAAAAGGTTACCGCCAAGATCTCAACTTCTTTAGTGACAAGGTGATAATAAAGTGTTGAATCCAAATATGAAAAAGTTCATTACAACCCAAAAAAAACTCTCCATTTAATGAACGCCTAAAGTAATAGTAGATGAGCAACAAATTCTACTGTTTGAGTAATTTTACCGCATTGGTCCGAAGTGAACTCTTATGCATCGAATCGAATAAATTTGAACTGAATTTATAGGTAATGAATAGATTCGAACAAATTTAGATGATACTAAGGCAACATTCTGATCAACTTATATTTTCTATTTGTTAATTATTCTTATTGTAATCAGATCAGAGCTGATCAGATTAACGATAATTTTAATTATAACTATAATCAGATCAGACCAGACCAAATCAGATATTCAAACAGACTAAATTGATTGGTATTTAATTAGTTGTTATCAAATGACCCATTAACGGCTTAACGATAACCACCAGTCATTTAGCGAGCATAAAGTTTATTGTGAAAAATTCAACCAATTAAACACAAATACTTTAGATTTTGTTCTTTTTGTTTGAAAATTTCTGAATTGATTATTAGAAGAAGCTGGAAGGATTCAGAAAAAATTGGAAGCAGTTGGCAAATGTTGAAAGAATTTTATGTGTTAAAAAGTCACTGTATTGGAAACGACTTCTCTACTTTTGAATAGATATAATGTATGAATGCGTACACCATCTCTCGACTCTAATTCCGTAGAATTCTACTTAGTTGTTGTAGTATTTTTTATTGGCGTCTTAAAGCACACTCACACTTGTGCTTTCCAATATTTCAACGCTTTGATGTACTCGCAACCAAAATCACTTTTGCTTTATTTGATTTACTTATTCTATCACTATTACTCAAATGATAAAATAAGTCATGTCATTTTTCATTTTGTAGATATTTTGATATAATTTTCTATACATAAATTTTTCCAATTCTGTCCTTATTTTCATTCAAAATATATATTAATCTAAAAATAACTTGTGTCTAATATTTCTATTTCAAATTTTAAAAGATTCTGAGTGTCTGTTTGGGAACAGCGTTAGCGATTAGCGTTAGCGTTTTGAAAAAGCTATCTACGGGCAGCGTTTAGCGTTAGCGTTTTCAAAGCGATCTGCACCGTTAAAATTTTATCCAAAACACTAACGCTAATGTCTAACGCTATTCCCAAACAATACCATCTTCAACCAAAGTTGCCACACAGTATCACCGTTTGTAATTCGGCCGTTGTTCAATTGCGCCGTGATTCCTGTGAATAAATAAGTCTCACTCCAAAACCCTACGCCAAAACTCGAAATTCACAAGTTTCCCTCCACCACCCGTCCCGAAATCTCAGATTCCCTCTTCCTGGACATTCAAAAGTTCCCAATCTTCAATTCAGAAGGCGCTTCAGGAATCCCAGGGAGTCGAGGATCATCAACATCCCGTTCGGTTCGAATTGGATTCGTAGGGTTTGAGGGCGAGGGAATTGCGCGATGGCCGAGGTTGTGCTGCGTGACGTCAGCAACGCTGGGCTCGTGGTCAGCGACCGCATTGGACGTGACTCTGGAGCTCAAACCGACCTCGAGGAGGGCCTAGAAGCTTCAAGATACGCAAGTCATCCGTACACAACGCATCCCAGAGAGGTAGGTATACACGAGGGGAAGTGATTCGAGACATGTAGTTCTGGTTCAATGTATGGTTAACTGTGGTTAGATGACTGAAGTTTTGAATTTTTGTTATAAACCACAAGGTAGAGTTGCCTATGTAGTTGGTTTGATCAGCAGACAATCCGAGAGGGAGCATAAAAAATTGCTTTTGGGTTGAAACATAGAACTTGATGCGATTTCTAGTGATATTGGCACTCTTAAATTGGATTGTACCTTGAACTTGAGTAGTTGGTTGACGGAAAATTTTGGTATTTCTTTTTAGATTGAATCTTTTAAGTTGATGTGGACGGGTACTTAATCAGCTTTTAAAGAACTAGGTTATCATTTTTATGATGTTTTTTCCTTCAAATTGACTACCTTTGTGGCTTTTGGCACCAACTAAAGGACCATGGTACTAAGGACATTGATGTCATCCAACTCTCTAAGGTGGTCACATGAAGTTTTTACTCTATCTTTCTCTCTGGACCATACATCTTAGTTGGTGTAAATAGGTATTCGAGCTGAATATCCATGTAATCCCTTGTTTTATCAAAGATAGTTTGTGGACGTATCTTTCACCCATCATGAAAAAGGAATGAGTTTATTGTCAAGGATAAACCACAAATTGTGTTTTAGCCTATTCATTTGCCACGGTCACTCATAAAGCAGTTGCCTTATTATATAAGATTATGAGTGAGTAGTGATAAATAGTACTCCGTACTAGGTAAGTGATCTTGCTCTTGTTTATCTTGTTAAAGCTTTATCTTAATTTTCGTTTTTCAATGATGGAATATACATCGATAAGTGAAGCTAAACACCTATAATAAAAATACAACAGCTCAACATAATCCTACAAGAGTAGAATAAATGCAAATTACTTGTCTTTTCATCATTTTTTCACTATCGTGCACACACCACGAGTGTAATAAAAGGCTTTTACATTGAGAAACATCTAAATATTACTGTTTGAAACTGGTTATGTGCAAATGATTTGTTTTTTCACTATTGTGCACACACCACTTTAAGATGTGACTAACATGCAAGTCCAAATAGATAATTTTAACACCTTTTTGTTTTGAGTATCCTATTACATCTTAGCTTTCAAAGGACTTAAAATCATATAAGCTTGTTATTGTTATAGTGGCCTCCCTCTGTGGAAATTGTTGATTCATTGGAATTGCCACATCTACTCATTGAAAGATACAATGCATCTGGCGGGGAAGGAACTGCATTATGTGGGATTTTTCCAGAGATACGTAGAGCATGGGCATCAGTGGACGAGTCTCTGTTTCTTTGGCGGTTTGATAAGTGGTGAGTGTATCATGTTGGGCTTACAAGTTGGCAAGTCCTGCAAGAAAATATGTCTTCATAACTTATTTAGTGTACTTAAGTCTTTTTTTATTAGCATTCATATTAAAACATAATTATAACTTATTGATATTATTGTTTTTTACTAACATTGATGATGAAATTTAGCAACAAATAAATAAGAAAATAAATAAGAAATAAATAACATTTGATGATGGAAGTTAGAAATACTTGGATATTTGAAATAAAACTGACACACATGTAGCTTGTTTGAGACTTTGAACAAACTAGGGAATTTGTGGAATGCGAGTGGTATTCCACTTATGATCTGGGTGTGCAACCATTGATAAGTAATTTCCAAACTGGTTGGCCCCATTAAAATACACCACCATATTCATGGTCATTTCAATGCAAGTAAACCCTCTATCCAATTTTTTTGTAAAGCATTTGTCATCGATCCGGGTCAAGGAGCTGCAAAGTTAATAACAAATCATGTGGTATATGCGCACCTTCTCTCAGTACCCAAGCTTACATGATGCACCATTTTCTTGATCTTTTATTCTTTTTTCATCACTATGATAACGATTTTTGCCCATTTAAATCCAGGGATGGTCAATGTTCTGAATATAATGTTGATGAACAAGCTATTTGTGCCGTTGGCTTAGCAAAGGCCAAGCCAGGCATTTTTGTTGAAGCTATCCAATATCTTCTAGTTTTAGCCACTCCTATTGAGGTAATAGCATTTCCTATCATGTCAATATCTCAAAGACTAATTTGTTTGTAGGTTATTTATTATGCATCGTAATGGTCTCTAATTTAAGTTCATTTAAATGTTTCCGATCATTACTCAAAATCTTACATTTCTTTTAACTGTCTTATTTGTCTAAAATATTATTAGAAATATGCTACAGAGTACAGATACAGATGTGTCTGAATAGATCTTTTTTCTTTTTAAATTTATGATGTTCTTTTTTCTAGCTCCCGAGACCCCCACAATGTTAAACCAAATGAAACATACATTGTACATATCCCACTGAAGAGTAGGATTTGGGGGACAAGATATATGTAGACCTTACCTCTACCCCAAGGGAGTAGAGAGGCTCTTTCCAGGAAGACTGATAAATATAGATACAGAGTGTGAGGATTAAGGAGTGAAAAAACAACATACAAAGGCCAAACAA